CTTATGCTATTCGCCTGTCGAACTGGTTGGACGGTAGCAACACGGCTAGTGACACACTCTGTCGAACTGGTTCGACAGTAGCGTTGAGAGCTTTAAGTTTTCTAAACAGCCATATTATACCACATCCTTTTAGATTGCACAACAGCAATACACGATCACACATCACAACATACAAATCCTCTCATTTATCTAAAGCACAACAAACATTGTGATAGAGTTCAATGTGTTGATGAACAGTGGGATGTCCAGATTGGAAGTCTGGCTTATACAATAGCTTATTATCAAGATGGTAATTTGACATACACTTAAACTACTCTTTCAAATATCTTGTAACGTGTTAAACTGGCTGGAAAGTTATTTAGACCATAAACATCAAAAGGTATTTTTAAAAGGGGCATTGTTAAGTCCTCAATATTTGACAGCTGCAGTGCCACAACGCTCGGTCCTGGGGCCTTTCGTATCTATTATATATTTTAATGATATTGCGGATCGTCTTGACAAGGTTGTTTGCAGATGAAACTTCTCTGGGTACATCTTCTTCTGGGCATCATATCATAGAAATCATGTTGAAAAGAAATCTTGACTACATAAACAATTGGACTAAAACTTGGCTTATATGATACAGTCCAGACAAAACGGAAGCGATTCTGTGGAAGGAGCTAATTCAAACTTGAGATTGATAATTGACTCTAAAGAAATACAAACTGTAACAGCTCATAAGCATCTCTTCGGGTGGTAAATTGTCCAATCATAGTAATAATTTGATTAAACCCACTGCAAAAATGATTAAATACATGCGAAACTTAAAGCATACGCTAAATAAAAAGATTCTTACCACAATTTATATCATTTTCATACATCCGCATCTTGAATATACTTGTGAGATATTGGTTGGTTGTTCGATAGAACTAAAGGAAAAACTTGAAAACCCCAGTTTGAGGCAGCTCGTAAAGCTACGGGGTTACCCAAATATGCCCCCCGGTATGCACTCTATTTTGGAACGGGTTGAAACACACGTACAGAAAGAAGAACGTACCGCTAGCTTTGCTTGTTTAATAAAATTAACAACTATGTAACCAAATACTGAGGATTAATTATCAGTGTACAAGGTAAGAAACGCACGAAATAGACCAATAATTATGTCTATAAGTATATCACCTACACCAAAAAAAATAAATACGCGTAAAACTCTTTCCTGATGCTTCTCTCTGTCTTCTGTACACATTTAAAGTATAACATAATATATCGCTAATCATGTAAATAATGTGGGAGGGGGCTATATAAAATTCCAATTGTGTCCAATCCATTTCTTTGTGAAACAAATCAAGCATGGGGTACTGGGGACCTAGCCTGCTCAGGAAACCCCACAGGGAGACAAGCATGGGGTACTGGGGACCTAGCCTGCTCAGGAAAGCCCACAGGGAGACAAGCGTGGGGTACGCGGGACCTAGCCTGCTCAGGAAAGCCCACAGGGAGACAAGCATGGGGTAATGGGGACCTAGCCTGCTCAGGAAAGCCCACAGGGAGACAAGCATGGGGTAATGGGGGCCGATCCTGCCCAGGAAAGCCCACAGGGAGAAACGCATGGGGTAATGGGGACCGATCCTGCCCAGGAAAGCCCACAGGGAGAAACGCATGGGGTAATGGGGAACGATCCTGCTCAGGAAAGCCCACAGGGAGACAAGCATTGGGTAATGGGGACCGATCCTGCTCAGGAAAGCCCACAGGGAGACAAGCATGGGGTAATGGGGACCTAGCCTGCTCAGGAAAGCCCACAGGGAGACAAGCATGGGGTAATGGGGACCGATCCTGCCCAGGAATTCCTTTGGGTAGATAAGTATGGAGCTCCCGGGACCTTACAATGTAATAGTGTAGAAGTGACCTTGTGAACCAGTATTGGGTACTGGTGACCTCATTATGAACAAGCACCGTTTTTTTCTCAAAAAAGTTTCAATCGATCCATAATGTGTATTTTGCAACATGATCTACATCGTTAATGGCGGAACATGATGTCTTCACAAACTCAAAACCCAATATCAATGATAATCTTTCCATATCATTTTACCCATGTGGTGGACTCGGTCAGGGTAGATCCCCTGTATTTCTTGCCTGTCGTAAAGACCAGCAAACCACATGGAGGGTGGATGGTCAGGCTCTGTGACTTGTCTCAATGTGGCATTGGATAACTATGTTGTTTTTTCTTTGTTGATGATAAGATTATTTAGAAAACCCTTTTTCATCAATAATGTATTTTTCGTTAATATTTTCTCTATACATTTACTATTCAACGACGGATCAGCAACAAAATCCTAAAACTTTGCTGAAATGGAATATGACAGCCGAGGCGACCATATTTAATGTACTACGTTTATAACGAACAAGCTGTTAACGAACTGACGGATATAACGAACAGTTTTGATCCCGTCTGTGTGTGTGTGTGTGTGTGTGTGTGTGTGTGTGTGTGTGTGTGTGTGTGTGTGTGTGTGTGTGTGTATGTATATGTTTGTGTGTGTATGTATATGTTTGTGTGTGTATGTATATGTTTGTGTGTGTGTATATATACAAGTGATGATTTTCTTTCCACCAAAACACATAAATATTAATGGAAAACACGTAAGCGTGATGTGTTTATAGGAAGTACAACATCCTTCAACGAGCTTATCGATCTTTTATCTTTTGATTTCAATCTTGCCCTCGAAAAAATTGTTAATGTTGTCCTTTGTGCCGCTGACTGTATGAAGGTACCTTTTGTTAAAAGTTCACCCCGAAATACGGGGTTTTATAATAGTGAATGCAGACGAGCAAAACGGGAGGCAAGGCGATACATGAGGAAATTCAAAGAGATGAAATCTAACGAAAATGAGTTAATCTTTTGTAAAATGAGAAACAAGTATAAACATGTTTGCAGAACAGCAAAATCAAATTATCAATTTATGACACGAACAAAACTAAAGCTATCTCTATCTGATTCAACCACATTTTGGAAAGAGTTACGGAGTATATCAGGTCGTAGGGAAACAAAGAATAACATAAGTAAAGAGTGCTGGTTTGATCATTTTACAAACGTTTTTCAGTGTACAGATGTATTACATGCTGAAGTCGAATGTCAATGTCATGAAGATTTTATACTTTATGAGATTGACCAGTGTATTTTGGAGTCGCCCATTACCGACTCAGAAATCCACAAGGCTATACATCGTTTAAAGAATGGCAAATCCCCTGGTGTTGATGACGTGGTCATTGAAATGTTAAAATGTTGTGAAAATGTAATAACTCCTTTCCTACGAAATTTGTTCAATAAGTTATTTGATTCTGGATTATTTCCTGAGAACTGGACGAAAGCTATCATCCTTCCACTACATAAGAAAGGTAACAAAAACTTAAGTGTCTTAAACTCTAGACTTACAATCTGGGCTAATATAAGAAGTAAACTACCCGAGACACAAGCAGGGTTTAGACAGGGATATTCTCCTGCTGATCACATATTCACGTTGAATGCAATTGTTAACAAATGTTTATCGAAAAGAAAATGGAAATTATACGTTGCTTTTGTGGATTTTAAAAAAGCGTTTGATTCAGTAAATCACCTTAAGCTATGGGAGTGTCTGAACGATGTAGGCTTGGGTGGAAAGATGATGAGAGCACTTAAGGGAATCTATGCCTCCGTGAAAGCGTGTGTGAGATGTAATGATAACATTTATACAGAATATTTTGATTGTCCTAACGGAGTTAAACAAGCCCTCTATTATTTTCCTGTTTCATCAATCAACTGTCAAATGATGTTTCATCACATGGGAAACACGGCGTACAACTATTTCCAGACTTGTTTGAAATATTATTATTATTGTTTGCCGATGATGTTATTCTTGTCTCTGACACAGCAACTGGTTTACAGAACCAACTTAATATTCTTGAAAAGTTTGCAGATTCACACGGATTAACGGTAAATTTAGATAAAACGAGTGTTGTTGTATTTAGACGAGGAGGGCGGTTATCTGTTCATGAGAAATGGTTCTATAAAGGCAATCGCCAACTCCTACAGATATCTTGGGTTTGTATTCTTATATACATCAAAGATGAACCAGTGTGTTTCAGATCTAGCATCAAGGGGTAAATCGAGCTTTAATGGAAATATTTCGCAATCTACGGAAGATTGGTTTTGTTGACACTTCAGTTTTCTATAAAATATTTGATACTCAGATTCAACCTATTCTTTTACATGGTGCGGAAATGTGGGGTGTAGAAAAATTAGAACAAGTGCATATTATGGCTTGTAAGAAGTTTCTTAACGTTGGTTTGCAAACTCCAAATGCTATTGTGTATGCGGTCAGTACATGTAAATGCTATGTGTCGTTCTGTAAAGTATAGGCTAAAAGTGATTAAAATGGACGAAGATGGGATACCAAGAAAATCTTGTAATACGCTTGTATATAACGACAAGTGTGGTCGTCATAACTATGCTTCTTCTATTCGTTCCATATTATTTTCTCACGGATTCGGAGTAGTTTGGCTCAGTCATGCTGTTGGCGACAACATGAATAGTTTTTAAAACGTTTTGATAAATATGTTCTACCAATCATGGAATAGTACTATCAAGGCTAGTTCTAGGTACATCCTGTATAAAGAGTTTAAAAGTATCCTGGAAAAAGAAAAATTCCTTTCTATTATTACTGAAATAGAGTATCGCAATGTTATGATAAGTCTTAGAGCCGGGCTACTAAGACTTAAGGTAAACGAAGGTAGATGGGCTGACATTGATTTACGCTTACGGCTCTGCCCCATATGTAAAACAAGTACAGAGAATGAATATCATTTTACTTTAGAATGTGAATATTACAACGATATTAGACAACTGTATTTACAAACAACTTTTTGCCACAATATAACGAACTCCGGTTCCAACGAACTAAAATTAGTGGTCCATTTAGGTCGTTATAACCGCAGTTTACTGTTATGACAGTCAACAAGCAATGGCCTTGACATCTCTGCAAACGTCATACCTTCATAACAGCAGTTGTGCCAGAGACGAAGGTTGTCGGACATATGTACACACACTAGGGCTTCCACGAGTCCATATTTTTGGACTCGAGTACCTGAGGGGTGAAAATAGGACGTCCTTTAAGAATATTGGTTAATTAGATCAAAATTGCCATCTTAAAGTATTAAAACATGTTATAAGTATAATTGAACTGCACTGAAATGTAAATAGAGAGCGTCTACGGAACTTGTTTATCTGTCAAAGTGTACGGAAGTGTTCAGTGTTAATGTTTGCTTGTAACTGCACTAATCTTAATCACGACCTTCAAAAACATAACGTCACGTCTACAAATACTACAATACATATTGAACACAAACCAAGTTTTTTTCTGACGATCAGCGTTTCATTCGACACCTGCCAACAAGCACGAACAATAATTCGCAGGAAGAAAATCGATAATGTGCATCACGTGACATACACGTATACATAGCTGCTGGGCTGCTAGACTAAGGCCGCTAAATATTGAAATGAAGTACTATAAGTTCATTCATTCATGAGTTAGTCACGTTTTTAAACTGTACCAAACTGTCGACCTGTCGCTTGGTTTGTAAGCACTGAAAAAGCACATATATATCAGCTAATCAGTTGTTAATCTGTGTAATTATACACTTGGCATTTGAGTCGGAGCAAAGAAGCAATAATTAAAAACAATAATTACGTCTATTTTATGTGACATTCTCAATTGTTCTAATGTACATCTACTTTCTACAAAGAATACATTATTCAAACAATATTTTTTGAAGCTTTAATCAATATATTGATGAACAATTGAACATTGAAACAGAGTGATCTCCCCTTATCAAGTACTCGAGTCCTTGATAACGGACTTGGGTCCCAGTAAAACCGACCCGGCCCCGAGTACTCGAGTACTCGTTGAAGCCCTAACACACACTCAACCACCCGGGCCTGCAGTAAAGATTTGGTCTTCATTGCAGTAAAGATTTGGTCTTCATTGCAGTAAAGATTTGGTCTTCATTGCAGTAAAGATTTGGTCTTCATTGCAGTAAAGATGTGGTCTTCAGCAACCCATGGTAAGAGGTGACTAACGGGATCGGGTGGTCAGACCTGCTGACTTATTGATGCACGTCAATGTGTCCCAATTGCGTAGATCGAAGATCATGATGTCAATCACTGGAATGTCTGGTCCAGATTCGATCATTTACAGACCGCCGTCATATAGCTAAGCGGGGCGTAAAACAGCGAACAAACACTCACCCTCTGGTCACACCCTCCTCGGCAGTGCAGTTTGTCTAGCTTTTGTTGGCGAGAACCAGCGAATAAAAATCTATCTCAAATGCAACGTCAGGATTCATTGCCTCTCAGCCGACTCGCTTGGCCCATCAACCCAGCGAGTAGATTAACTAAATTCGACAGGCTCCGACGTATTTAATCAGTATCTGTTAGTGTGCAGGGTTGACGTTCCATGCATGAGTCATGCTAATCCTAGGGCCAGGGTATACAGTACAGATACATACCTGAGAGTGTTAACCCCAAATCCTAGGTAACGCGATAGTCGCGATCTAGTCCATAGTTCACAGCAATGTACGAACTCACATTCAGTTGTAGTTGCACATCGATTTCTATGCCACGCTACTCCACCAATCTTTCCACGTAGTGAAGCGATGTAAGGGCGATAACTCTAATACCCGGAAGTTGTTGCGAAGTGTTTTGTGTGAGGAGTGAGTGTGTTTGTTGTTTCGGATATTTCACGACAAATAATCGAGTCTGGGCAAAAATATACAGTTGACGTCGGGCTACGATGACAAGCAATCAGCCAAGTCGTCAAACCTGAACACAGGATCCATTAAGTGACCTTTGCAACAAACTGTTCTGGGGGATCATGTTTAACCTTGATCCCACGGTGTGGTGCATGGCTACAAAACGTCCGGACACGTATATAATGGTAATTGAAGACATACCATATTTAAACGGGTCATCACCCACAATCCAGAAACAGGAGATATAATGAACACGTCGAAAGTTTAATCGCAGGGACTTGAGGGCCGCTTGTAATCCAGTTATCACAATATGTTGTTGGGGCAATTCTTAAACTAATTGATACATTCTCTAAATTCGGATGCATTCATCAAACGTTATACTATAATTCAATACTATAATGCCACAGTCGCTGTCATTTAGATTTATCACAGTTGAGAAATAATTAGTAACAGTAAAAGAAATGTAGTAGGCCGGGTATCTCAATTAAAACTCGTGTACTACTTTACTTGGATGTCACAGGTCTGGCTATCTACCTGGAGAATAACTTTACTTGAATTCAACACGTCAGACTAACTCCCTGAAAAGAATATCTTCACTTAGATGTCACATGTCCGCCCATTTCTTCCCAGATAATCTTTTTACTTAGAAGCCGCATATATGCCGATCTACCAGGAGAAATTGTTTCGACTTAGGTAAGTATATTAGTATGAGGCCGGTAAATTGACATTGAAATTTAGATTGTAAGCATTGGAAAGCTGTAACTTGTTGTGAACTCGTGAACTGGAACAACAGGTTCGTTTGCAGTTCTATATGGAGCATCTTATGCTCGCTGCAACGATAGTATGTTGGTCTCGATAAGCTTAGTCTCCTTAGAGAGAGTCGACTGTACTCCCGGGCAATATCCCAACAAGGCCGCGGAAAGTGACACCGATGTCTATCTGCAAAGCTAATGTGTATTACATGTCATACTGATAACCCTACCTGCCTTATCTGGCTGGTGCACACCATAGTTTTGCTCACATAGCTCCTGCACGTTACGTACACCTACTTACCTGGGCTGATGTTGCTGTAATGTTGAAGGGAGGTGGTGACCAAGCCTTATGAGAAACTGCTTACATCGTCTTACATTGTTACTGACGAAACTGTGACGGGTATGGGCAGTAGAGTAGACGAGAATGGACACATGAACTAAGAAATCTAACACGTGAACGCTGAGCTATGAATGCTAATACTTCGTAACCCAGTACTAACATGTACAGTGAAACATGATCTAACTCTCGACTAGGGTGCAGTTGTATGAAGCAACCTAAGCGCTACGACTGTCTTAAGTCTGTGTCAGGTATGGGTGTCACGATCGCCTTAGTGGAGACCACCCTGGTGGACTGCCGTATCTAAACACACTGCATGAATATGGTGCACACCTCTATCTAATTAGCACATGTACGTTATACGTGTAATATTCTGATACCTACATCACTTCGGGGTTTCGTCCTATGTGATATCACTGGAATACTTTTCATTACGGGGTTAAACCCAACATACTCACTCACTCTCTCCATAAGCATAATTCACCCTGTTCTTTTTCGGTCTCCTGACAATTATGTTGAAACAGTGGTAGTCTACTGTTCAGTGTGCGTGTGTATTTGTATGTATATGCATGCACGCGCGTACCGGCGTGCGTGCGTGCGTGCGTGCGTGCATATGTGTGCGTGTGCGTGTGTGTGTTCGTTCGACAATGTTATTGCGGATGCATTGTCTCGAGTTGTTTGAATGTGATCAGTTCTGACTACAAACATGATTTGCATATTTTGTAAACATTTATCTTATTCAACATGTATAACATGTATTATTATGTTCTGTACTTGGCAAAGTTTGTCCTCACGATGTTAAAACTTTCTTTCTCGGAAGGGGGAGATCGCTATATGGCAGTGTATTTCATTGTTGAACAATGATTGTAACTGTGTTACATTGTAGAGATTCGGCAGACGCTCATTGTACATGTATTGTGTTTGGGCATTGATTAGTCGTCAGGAATGTGATACCGTTTCATCTTAGCAGTCGTCAGGAAGTTACTATGCTTTGATGCGAGTGTGGTGTGTAAACTTCCGGTATACCGCGGACGGTGATAGAATGTTGTGGAGAATTCTGTCATGTTCTGGCACCTTAAGCTTTCGACTGGTTAGAGCACTGTGTGTAACATCCCAGTGGCTGGGGAGGTTATATATGTAGTTGGGCAAGAGCGTGTTTGCGTATCCCTCACACATGCTATCACATACGCATTTTCATCACGCCCAGACCAGTTTTCATGTTAGGATCGCTCATCATCCCTGATATCACTGAAGCTTTAATATTATTACTACCACTGACTTTTGCTATTACCACTGTATTTTTGTATTTAATACTGAGTGAGTGAGTGAGTTTGGTTTAACGCCGCTTTTAACAGTATTTCAGTTATATCACGGCGTGTCAGCTTAATGTGGGAGGAAAGCCCGAAGTAATGCAGGTCTCAGACGTTTACCACTTCGGTGAAACCCACGAGCACGGATACGGTGCTGACAAACCTAGAAACATAATCGGGGCGAACCGGGATTCGAACCTACAATCATAGGTTTCTGGCGTGCCCAAGGGAAGGCAACTCTGCACAGCGAATCGCGGCGCCTTAGACGACTGGGCCACCCGTGCCCCCGTATTTTATACTGACAACTACCATTTATTGCCATTGAATATTGTATAACCACGCATTGTTTACTGCCATTGTAATCGCTGTGCAGTAATTTGTGTTCATATGTAAATTCAGTGAATTTTGTGGATCGTTTGTTGGTTTCACACTAAGTTCTTTTACGTACAGATTTCTGGATAAACATATTGTTTTCAATTTGGGAATCGACACGTAATGATATGAATCGGAATTTCTGCTCGGATTGTCAAAACAAGGTAATTTGGCCAAGAAGTTTAAGTTCAGGTATATCGATGATCTGATATCGTTCAATCCATCAATCAGCCAATTCCCTTCCACTGAGTTACCCATCTAAACTAGAAACCAGTGAGACTGCTGAATCTGTTTCATATTTAAATATATGCATGAAATTTCAGAACCACAAAACACTCACCACGAGGCTGCATGACTGGAGGGATGACTTCAACTTTCGACTAGTAAACGTTCCCTTTATGGAAAGGGTATTGTCGCATTTATTTATATGCTAAGCACAATTAGAGACGTTCGTGATGTGTTTCTCCAGGCACTTCAAATATGACTCTCAAGTTGCTGCCATCGTCACTTGGGCAGACAATACATTCATCTACTTCCAGATTTGCAGCATACCCACGTAGACGCGGAGACGTTGATTTACCGTGACATTGCGTCAGCGTTATTTGCGGTTAAACAAAACTGTTTCATGGGCACCTGATAGCTAAACAGTCATTATGCGCTGTTCACATTAGAAAACAACACACAACACGTGTGTGAGTATCATGGTCCGAAGAAGCACTCAATCATCTGGTCTAGATTCGATTACTCACAGACTGACGTCATATCTACTGCCGACAACACATATGGGATCTCGACAACACACATGGGAACTCGACAACACATATGGGAACTCGACAATACATATGGGAACTCGACAACACATATGGGAACTCGACAACACATATGGAAACTCGACAACACATATGGGAACTCGAACAACACATATGGAAACTGGTGAAATAAAAATGAAGATGTAATGACAATAAATGTCTGAAAAATTTATTTCGGTTGTGTAGATCAATATCATGCACGACACCTTGATGGTATAATGTTGATTAACTTGTGCATGATTGCCCTTGGCATTGCCCGCCATTACGCCCGAAGAGCTACCCAGACTGGGATCAACGTATCGCTGCCCAGTCTAATATCCATTCATAATAACGAAATCAGTTCGCTTGCCATGTGTGATACTTTCCCCATACCGATCATGGTCAAGAATTGTTGCCTTGGCCAATCCCAATCTTTGCCGGCTGTGGTAAGCTGTAATGGTCACACCCTTCACAGGACGCCTTGCTTTCAGGCGGGCTGCACAGAGTCAGCTTTTATCTGTAGAGTCGCATTCCTGTTATTGTACGGAATCCACTATTGACAGCAGATTTCAATCTATTGCGTGGCATAATGTAATGAGACGATCTTATCCAGGTGACACATCATGTCAATCTCCTCATTGACACGTCATGTCAATCTCCTGATTGACACGTCATGCCAATCTCATTAGTGACACGTGATGTCAATCTCCTCATTCACACGTCATTTCATTCTCCTTAGTGACACGTCATGTCAGTCTCCTTAGTGACACGTCATGTCATTCTCCTCATTGACACATCATGTCAATCTCCTTAGTGACACGTCATGTCATTCTCCTTAGCGACACGTCATGTCAATCTCCTTAGTGACACGTCATGTCATTCTCCTTATTGACACGTCATGTAATTCTCCTTAGTGACACGTCATGTCAATCTCCTTAGTGACACGTCATGTCATTCTCATTGACACGTCATGCCAATCTCCTTAGTGACACGTCATGTCAATCTCCTTAGTGACACGTCATGCCAATCTCCTGAGTGAGACGTCATGTCATTCTCCTCATTGACACATCATGCCGATCTCCTTAGTGACACGTCATGTCAATCTCCTCATTTACACGTCATGCCAATCTCCTTAGTGACACGTCATGTCAATCTCCTCATTGACACGTCATGTCAATGTCCTTAGTGACAAGTCCGGAAAATTATATATTCATTAAGATTAACTTCTGGTCCTGATCGCAAATAACATAAATTTACAAACTTGCTTTACAGAATCATTTGTAATCAGTATAACGCCATGAAGGGATGCGTAAAAACCCAGGAAGAATGTGAGAAATCTGTTGTCGAAATAGGAAATTCCATATGCAACAGATATAACAGAACTATTTTTACCACCAATATTTCCCTTTCCTTGAAATCCACTGTCAATGAACAATCCCGAGCTACTTAAAAATGCTGATGTGTATATTCGCCACGTTGTTCTCAAGAAAACATTCCACTGATAATATGAATAAAATGGAGCTTAATGCTTCTCAACTGTTTGCTTCATAGCTTCATACGGTGTATTTATTTATCCCATCTTTAGCATCAATCACATACAGTGATCCCTCCTCATCGAAAGCAACATGACTGGGACAATGCAGCCCATCACGTTTTGTTTTGTACTGAAGACATTTTTTACCACTTGAGCTATAAACGCGGACTCCTCCCAAATGGTAGTCCGCAGCGAAAATGGTTCCATCACGTGACACACAAGTCCCATTGGGTTTCCACCCAGTATCATATTCCCTACTGCTCCACCTGTCCTTCCCTCCACTTGATAGGACTCTTAGACTTCCACTTCCCCATTCACTCATGACTATATCCCCTTCAGGGGTGACTGACAGAGACGCCAGGGGGAACCGGATGCTGCAGTCTAAATACTTCTTCAGCGTGCCATCCAGGTTGTAGACGTGAAATCTTTTGTCACCAGGAATATTGCCAACCACAATCCCAACATCGTCAGACGCAGCTAGACTGTATGTGAAGGGTAGACCTTCATCTGGTTTATTCTTGTTCAGTTTGACCTTTGTTCGTAGATGACCCTTTAAAGTGAAAATACACAAATAATTCTCACTGACCACAGCAATGATGTCCCCAGCAACAGCAATTGCACGGGGATAGAATCCATCCACGGTGATTTCTTGTTTCAACTTACCACAAGAGTTGATCATCTTGACCTTTTTATTGGCTAGATCTGATATCAACAGCCCAGCACCGAAACTGTATGCCGTTCCTTTGATGTTAGGGTTCTTTGTATCACCTTTAAATTTTGCAGAAAATGTTCTTTGGAATTTCATATTGTATCTCGATGGAATAGATATGGTCTGTGATACACTGGCTTCACTCTGTGTTGTCTGCTTTTTGTCCTGTTTCTCGTTCTGTTCATCATCCTTTGCAACAGTCAATGCATCCGTCTTGTGAATAGCCATGGCATGTCCTTTGAGCTGTTGGAGTCTGTCCACAATGGTCGTCTTCAGCATCAGTAACTCGTCATCCTTGCCTGTCTCCAGGATGCTGTCACAGAAGTCAACACAACTGCCAATCCTATTTTTCTGTTGCGAGAGTTCTTGTAACATGGTGTTGTGTTCCTTCTCTATTTCTTTCGTTTCAGTGGAAAGTTTTCTCAGTGAATCGTGTTGTCTGCTTTTTATTATGGCAATTTCTCGTTCCGCAGTTTCTTCAATGCGAGATGTTTTTAATTCTCTCTTTTTTTTTAATGCTTTTGTCAAAGATAAGATACTCATTTCTTGTTTGGAAACTTCCTTGAATTCTTTGCGAATGATCTCAACCTTAGACTTCATCATTGACTTCAAAAAGCTTACAGCTTCTGTGATAGGTTGAGTGTTGTGGTCCTTGTGGAGAAAAATAACGCATGCTATACAGACTGGTAAATGACAAGATTGGCAAAAGTATTCCACATCTTTGTCCTGGTGCTGTTGACATTGAATTCTCTGTAACTGTCTGAACGTTTCATCATGCAGTCCTTCCCTGAGGTCTCCTAAAGAAACAATCTGATGGCCATGTGTTTGGGTTGAAGCATTGTGTCCATCGGAACAGTCTGTACAGAGGCCATCGCCGCAGTTGAGACACTTCATTTCTGCTGGGGAGGATCGTCCTTTCAACCCACATGGCGTGCATTGCATTGACTTGGCTGTCTTAGATCTTACAAGTTCAGCGAGTCCATTGATGAAGAAATTATTCTTGAAGGAATCTGCCTCAACTGAAATTGGTTCTCGACACTCTGGACAGAGTGCTGGTCTTTGTTCAGACTGATGTGACTCTGTGCGCGCGCATATGCACCTAAAGCAGAAGGAATGGAGGCAGGGCAGGATTCTGGCATCTGTGATCAATTCTTGACAGATGCCACAAGTCAGGAAGTCATTGTGGTGTAAATCAACAACTGATCGATCTGGTAACGTTCCGGCCATCTTGGCTGAAAAAAAGAAACATATTTCAATAGAAAGTTGTCTCTATGATGTCAGACTGAAATATTAAGAGACATTGTTTGTGGTCATTGTGGATTGGTTTGGTATATACTGGCGGGAAAGAGTATCTGCTTCATATACAGTGGTGTAAATGCTACGTTATTTAAAAAAAACACCAAAAACCCAAATATCATATTTGGTCATTTGTCTGATCAAAGTATTATCAAAACCCATACCAGGTAACAGAAGACAGAGGGACACGCCCCAAAATAGTGGTAGTGATACAACTTAATTAACAATGTCAATATCGGATCTGACCACCACTTGCGTTGATACATGCGAGGCAGCGGCAGTGTACTGAATACACCAAATGATTAAAAACAGCCTGGGTGATGTTGTTCGAAGTGCCAACCAAATATTGGCCCATCTGAGTGGGCCCTCACTGGCTGGTTCTGATCTTGTCGTAGGCGTCAATCCATCTCATCCCAGGCATGTACAAAGTGGGGGAGAGGTCTGGAGGAACATCCGACCATGACAGTACAGCAATGTCATGCTGCCTCAAAAAGCCTATTACAACATGTGCAAAACATGGGCGGGCATTATCCTGCTACAACGAGACGCTACGTCCCTACATTTGCACAAACGGTAGGACGGTGCATTGATAGATGCATTCAGAATAAATATATTTTTATGAAGCACAGTTTCTTTTTTTCCGTCAGTATATTTACTATTGTGTTCAGACAGACTCTTAATAAGGAGTGTGCGTGTCTGCAACCAAATCAAAAACCAGCATTTCACTTTTACAGGTCAGACTTAACTCATACCAACATATAAGATGAGTGAGCATAAGATATATGGATGAACAACTTCTTTATTACAATAAGAAACAACGTTTCGGTGTAGGTTCTAACACCGTTATCAAGCAAGTGAGTATAGTTGACAAGTATATATACAGGTTGCAGGCAGTTTTTATACAGTAGAGTAGATATCAGATGTAGATAATAGAGTAGATATCAGATGTAGATGATAGAGTAGATATCAGATGTAGCTACACTGGAGTGGAGAAGCTTGTTATGTACATCTTATCCTTAGTACTCAAACTTCAATACCTCAAAGAAACATATAAGATGGTTGTCAGCAAGACTCTTGGTAGGGTATTGCTTTCCTTATATACAGCGTATACACGACAGAATTTGGGATTCCTGACCAATAATTCACCAATTTTGGTTTTTGAGTGAGTTAGTCCGTCATCTCGGTTTAATGCCGGGCTGAAAAGTATTTTAGTTAGCAAGGCGTTTCAGTTGACAAGCCAAGGGACATGATTAGGTTGAAGTTGGGATTTCAATGGACCCTTGCGTGGCAAAGACAGACACCCCGCTGAGAGAATTGCGTTGCCACAGAGACATGCGTAGGGGTGTTTCCATGGGGAGCGTCTCCGACCCACCTCCACACTATTGACTATAGTGTGTGTTGCACAGCTCTGTTGACTGTTATGAAGCCTCCAGACAGAAGTGTGCAATATCCACCATCATAAATCCATCTCATGTTACGTACAAAGTAACATGTTACGTACCCAGTAACATGTATATACATGTCACAACACTGACCCCGATAAAAGACACACACACACACACACACACACACACACACACACACACACACACACACACACACACACACACACACACACACACACACACACACACACATTGTGAATGGAATACCAACCCGACACACAGTCACACTACATGCATGTTCTCGCCTACCTGCTCCATCGATCGTCCTAACATAAGGGATACGTCGAAAACTCTTACTCTGAAGGCGGCTGATACGTGACTAGGCAGTCACGTGACTATGCTGTTGCATTATGTGCTTTGATACAATCAGACTAACTAGAGAGATAGTAACTAGCGAGATAAATTAGAGATTTTACAATGGTAACACATGAATACACAATGCCATTATGAATACACAATGCCATTTAGAAAGTGGTCAAATGTAACACGTTATATTTGGGATAACACTTTCATAGTAAAGCACAGATTCTCGTACTTTTCTTGGGTTGAGTCCCGTCCGGGATTCGAACCCACTCAGCCAAGAAAAGTACGAGAATCTGTTCTTTACTAAGAAAGTGTTATCCCAAATATAACATTTGTTACAATTGGTAGTGGTGGTATTTTGTAATAGATACAAGAAGTATTACTATTTTTTCGGGTGTTCAAGAGACTTGAGCAATATGTGACACAAGTAAAAGGGTACTACGTCAGGCTAACATTTCAGATAATAGGATCATTGGGATGACTAAAAAAGGCATAATGCGTGTTCGGTTATGTCAAAAAGCCACCAAGAGTTACTGCCCTTTTGGAGGGGGTAGGACACGCACATTTCCAGGACATTCAGTACGAGGCAACAAAGTCGCAGGGCTGAATATCCAAAGGAATCAATGATCAAGACAAGAAAATGTAATTTGGAAACCAATATCAGCAGCAAACAAAACCAACTTACAGGTGTACTACAGCCATTAAAACGTTCATGATGGAGTGGCTGCACGGTTAGGTTGAGGTGGTTGTGAGGGTAGGGATTGTATAAGGTGGGGTGGTTGTGAGGGTAGGGTTTGTATAGGTTTTGGGTGGCTGTACGGGTAGTGTTTGTATAAGGTGGGGTTACTGTGAGGGTAGGGTTTGTATGAGTTGGGGTGACTGTGAGGGTAGGGTCTGTATAGGTTGGAGGCTGTGAGGGTGGTGTTTGTATGAGGTGGGGTGGCTGTGAGGGTGGGGTTTGTATGAGGTGGGGTGGCTGAGAGGGTGGGGTTTGTATGAGGTGGGGTGGCTGTGAGGGTAGGGTTTGTATGAGGTGGGGTGGCTGAGAGGGTAGGGTTTGTATGAGGTGGGGTGGCTGTGAGGGTAGGGTTGTATGAGGTGGGGTGGCTGAGAGGGTGGGGTTGTATGAGGTGGGGTGGCTGAGAGGGTAGGGTTTGTATGAGGTGGGGTGGCTGAGAGGGTGGGGTTGTATGAGGTGGGGTGGCTGTGAGGGTGGGGTTTGTATGAGGTGGGGTGGCTGAGAGGGTGGGGTTGTATGAGGTGGGGTGGCTGTGAGGGTGGGGTTTGTATGAGGTGGGGTTTGTATGAGGTGGGGTGGCTGAGAAGGTGGGGTTTGTATGATGTGGGGTGGTTGTGGGTGTAGGGTGTGTATGAGGTGGGGTGGCTGTGAGGCTGGGGTTTGTATAGGTTGGAGGCTCTGAGGGTCGGGTTGGTAAGGGTTAGGGTGGCTATGAGGGTTGGGTTTGCATGACTTGGGATAGCCGTGGGGGTAGGGTTTGTTTGAGGTGGAGTGGTTGTGGGGGTTGGGTTTGTATGAGGTGGAGTGGTTGTGGGGGTTGGGTTTGTATGAGGTGGGGAGGCTAGACTGAAACTGACATTTCTACAATCACTTACTTCGTCAAAGCTTAATCAGATGTCCTAGCGACATAATCACTTACCATTTACTTAGCAACATTAGATTTCCACAACTCTACGACAGTGTTGATCAAGCTCATACCAGCTTCCCGGTTACTCTGCCGGTATCATTGCGATAGTTTTGAGAGCTCCGCCAACGGAGGAGGCTTGAGTGTAAACGTGTAATCACTTCCTGTAAGGGAGCAATCATTTCATATTCGTGTGTGTGGTGTGGTGTGGTGTGGTGTGGTGTGGTGTGGTGTGTGTGTGTGTGTGTGTGTGTGTGTGTGTGTGTGTGTGTGTGTGTGTGTGTGTGTGTGTGTGTGTGTGTGTGTGGTTTTGGGTACTCCAATATTAGTTTTAAAATATATAAAAAAACGAAAACTGTTTTCCTTGGACATTTGTCTGCGAGAAATAGCACATTATTTTTCCTACGCTGCGATGCAAATGTAATTTCTTCCAGTAAAGAAAGGAGCTTGATTATTTTTTCCCCATGAAAATCCCCTCAATCCCATCCCTACTGAGAATCAAATGATTGCTCCCTAACTACATATATGACAGTTATTTTAATGCGGGAGGCTGGCGGTTCGAACCCCACATGGGTAGATTGTGTGAATTCTTTATTATGTCCCCCGTCTTGATATTGCTGTAAATATTGCTACAAGCGGCGTATTACCCAACTCACTCAACTCCCAGAATCACTTAGGAGGTGTATTAAACACTTAAATTTAGATAGATTAAATCTATAGAGATTAAATGAACAACATATGTTAAAATATCATAAATATAAACCCGAAGGGACAATGAGTAACTATATTATGTTTGAGTGTGTATTTCCAGGATGTGCTGAAGCACAACTGAATGTCTACGTCAGGATCCCTGAACACACTATTCACAATCACGTCTTGTATCAATACGTCAACAAGAACCAGATAACAGGACATAGAACATTAGGTACTAAAATCATTCTATCAGAACGTGTACGTGGAACACAGGATAGGACACAGAACATTAGATATTGTCATCTGTCAGATTGTAACTTAAAAACGTAGAATAGGACAGACTACATCAAATAATGTCATCTATCAGAAGAATAGGACATGGAACATTAAATAATGTCATCTATCGGAATGTAACTAAAGGACGTGGAATAGGACATAGAACATCAAATAATGTCATCTATTTCGGACATAGAACATTAAATAATGTCATCTATTTCGGACATAGAACCTTTAATAATGTCATCTATTTCGGACATAGAACCTTTAATAATGTCATCTATTTCTGACATAGAACATTAAATAATGTCATCTATTTCGGACATAGAACATCAAATAATGTCATCTATTTCGGACATAGAACATCAAATAATGTCATCTATTTCTGACATAGAACCTTTAATAATGTCATCTATTTCGGACATAGAACCTTTAATAATGTCATCTATTTCTGACATAGAACATTAAATAATGTCATCTATTTCGGACATAGAACATCAAATAATGTCATCTATTTCGGACATAGAACATCAAGTAATGTCATCTATTTCGGACATAGAACCTTTAATAATGTCATCTATTTCGGACATAGAACCTTTAATAATGTCATCTATTTCGGACATATAACATCAAATAATGTCATCTATTTCGGACATAGAACATCAAATGATGTCATCTATTCAGGACATCGAACATCAAATAATGTCATCTTTTTCGGACATAGAACATTAAATAATGTCATCTATTTCGGACATAGAACATTAAATAATGTCATCTATTTCTGACATAGAACATTAAATAATGTCATCTATTTCGGACATAGAACATCAAATAATGTCATCTATTTCGGACATAGAACATCAAATAATGTCATCTATTTCGGACATAGAACATCAGATAATGTCATCTATTTCGGACATAGAACATCAAATGATGTCATCTATTCAGGACATCGAACATTAAATAATGTCATCTATTTCAGACATCGAACATTAAATAATGTCATCTATTTCGGACATAGAACAACAAATGATCTCATCTATTCAGGACATCGAACATTAAATAATGTCATCTATTCAGGACATAGAACATCAAATGATCTCATCTATTCAGGACATCGAACATTAAATAGTGTCATCTATTTCGGACATCGAACATTAAATAATGTCATCTATTTCAGACATCGAACATTAAATAATGTCATCTATTCAGGACATCGAACATTAAATAATGTCATCTATTCAGGACATAGAACATCAAATGATGTCATCTATTCAGGACATCGAACATTAAATAATGACATCTATTAAGGACATTAAACATTAAATAATGTCATCTATTCAGGACATTAAACATTAAATAATGTCATCTATTCGGGACATAGAACATCAAATGATGTCATCTATTCAGGACATCGAACATTAAATAATGTCATCTATTTAGGACGTGGTAATTCCAACGTGGTATTTTGACAATGTAAGGTATTAAGTCATCCTGTTAGCTATGTGTAGACAGACACTGATGTGTGTCTTGCAGTTAACAGTAATTATGATGCGTCAACCCACCATTAGCATACATCTTTAACAAGCCAGCTCCCCACGCGGTGCGCAGCCATCGCTTGGATCTTCATCTCTGCCTCGTGACATCATTATGAATGTTTTCATTAATTAACACTCACTAATAATGACGATGCTTTCCACTTCACATCATTAGTCAAAGCATGCAGATGTTCTTTCTCCCACGTGCTTTTTCTTTTCATGGTAGGATTTATGCCTATTATCTTTCAAGTGAAAAAAAAATACTAATTAAATATTCAAGTACTCCAGACGTCATTACTGCGTGCGGATATTGTTGTCGCTTGCTGAAATTGGAAGATGGCACATTAATCAGTGGAGGGAGGGCTGCTGCAACAAGAACACAAGAAGAAGACTAACTGATTGAAAGCATCCAGAGTGGTTGGAACATACATTGCTTCGTTAACAACTTCTGGAAGTCGCGTGGTACATACAGACGCACAACCGTTATACCGTTAGACACGTGTCAGTCATTGTCAGTCACACACCAAGCCACATGCCTGCATATCCATGCCTAGTTGGTCAATAAACAACCGTTGTAATCTTTATATTAACGATTTGGAAATGGACGGCATCGCCGCAGTCGGTACAAAGATGATTCGAGTGAATACATTTGAAAGCAGAAACACCACCGGCGATGGCGGAGCACGAGCAGCACGTGCGCCCGTCGCGCGCTGACAGCGACATGTGAGTGAGTGAGTTGGGTTTAACGCCGCTTTTAACAGTATTCCAGTTATATCACGGCGTGTCAGCTTAATGTGGGAGGAAAGCCCGAAGTAATGCAGGTCTCAGACGTTTACCACGTTTACCACGTTTACCCACGAGCACGGGTACGGTACTGACAAACCTAGAAACATAATCGGGGCGAACCGGGATTCGAACCTACAATCATAGGTTTCTGGCGTGCCCAAGGCAACTCTGCACAGCGAATTGCGGCGCCTTAGACGACTGGGCCACCCGTGCCCCCGTATTTTATACTGACAACTGCCATTTATTGCCATTGAATATTGGACTACCACTCTATTGTTTATCGCCCTTGTAATCGCCGTGCAGTAATTTGTGTTGATATGTAAATTCAGTGAACTTGTGTTTCACACTAAGTTCTTTTACGTACAGATTTCTGGATAAACATATTGTTTCAATTTGGGAATCGACACGTAATAATAAGAATAGGAATTTCTGCTCGGATTGTCAAAACAAGGTAATTTGGCCAAGAAGTTAAAGTTCAGGTATATCGATGATCTGATATGGTTCAATCCATCAATCAGCCAATACCCTTCCACTGAGTTACCCATCTAAACTAGAAACCAGTGAGACTGCTGAATCTGTTTCATATTTAGATATATGCATGACATTTCAGAACCACAAAACACTCTCCACGAGGCTGCATGACTGGAGGGATGACTTCAACTTTCGACTAGTAAACTTTCCCTTTATGGAAAGGGTATTGTCGCATTTATTTATATGATAAGCACAATTAGAGACGTTAGTGATGTGTTTCTCCAGGCACTTCAAATATGACTCTCAAGTTGCTGCCATCGTCACTTGGGCAGACAATACATTCATCTACTTCCAGATTTGCAGCATACCCACGTAGACGCGGAGACGTTGATTTACCGTGACATGGCGTAAGCGTTATTTGCGGTTAAACAAAACTGTTTCATGGGCACCTGATAGCTAAACAGTTATTGTGCGCTGTTAACATTAACAAAAACAAGACGTGTGTGAGTATCATGATCCGAAGAAGCACTCAATCATCTGGTCTAGATTCGATTACTCACAGACTGCCGTCATATCTACTGCCGACAACACATATGGGAACTCGACACATATGGGAACTCGACAACACATATGGGAACTCGAACAACACATATGGGAACTCGACAACACATATGGGAACTCGAACAACACATATGGAAACTCGACAACACATATGGGAACTCGAACAACACATATGGAAACTCGACAACACATATGGGAACTCGACAACACATATGGGAACTCGACAACACATATGGGAACTCGAACAACACATATGGGAACTGGTGAAATAAAAATGAAGATGTAATGACAATAAATGTCTGTAAAATTTATTTCGGTTATGTAGATCAATATCATGGACGACACCTTGATGGTAAAATGTTGATTAACTTGTGCATGGTTGCCCTTGGCATTGCCCGCCATTACGCCCGAAGAGCTACCCAAACTGGGGTCAACGTATCGCTGCCCAGTCTAATATCCATTTATAATAACGCAATCAGTTCACTTGCCATGTGTGATACTTTCCCCATACCGATCATGGTCAAGAATTGTTGCCCTGGCCAATCCCAATCTTTGCCGCCTGTGGTAAGCTGTAATGGTCACACCCTTCACAAGACGCCTTGCTTTCAGGCGGGCTGCACAGAGTCAGTTTTTATCTGTAGAGTCGCACTCCTGTTATTGTACGGAATCCACTATTGACAGCAGATTTCAATCTATTGCGTGGCACAATTAATGTAATGAGACGATCTTGTCCAGGTGTCGTTTTTTTAGGCCTGCCACGCCCAGGTCTCATTGTAACCCCCTCCCTTTGACGGTACTTGTCTCACAGAAATTACACATTTTTATTTGCCAAACATGTCAATCTCCTCATTGACACGTCATGCCAATCTCCTTAGTGACACATCATGTCAATCTCCTCATAGACACGTCAAGTCAATCTCCTTAGTGACACGTCATGCCAATCTACTCATTCACACGTCAAGTAAATCTCCTTAGTGACACGTCATGCCAATCTCATTAGTGACACGTGATGTCAATCTCCTTAGTGACACGTCAAGTCAATCTCCTTAGTGACACGTCATGCCAATATCCTAAGTGACACATCATGTCAATCTCTTTATTGACACGTCATGTCAATCTCCTTAGTGACACGTCATGCCAATCTCCTCATTGACACGTCATGCCAATCTCATTAGTGACACGTCATGTCAATCTCCTTAGTGACACGTCATGTCAATCTCCTTAGTGACACGTCATGCCAATCTCCTCATTGACACGTCATGCCAATCTCATTGGTGACACGTCATGTCAATCTCCTAAGTGACGCGTTATGTCAATCTCCTTAGAGACACGTCATGCCAATCTCATAATTGACACGTGATGTCAATCTCCTCATTCACACGTCATGCCAATCTCCTTAGTGACACGTCATGTCAATCTCCTTAGTGACACGTCATGTCAATCTCCTTAGTGACACGTCATGTCAATCTCCTGATTGACACGTCATGCCAATCTCATTAGTGACACTTGATGTCAATCTCCTCATTGACACGTCATGCCAATCTCCTTAGTGACACGTGATGTCAATCTCCTTAGTGACATGTCATGCCAATCTCCTTAGTGACACGTCATGCCAATCTCCTTAGTGACATGTCATGTCAATCTCCTTAGTGACACGTCATGTCAATCTCCTTAGTGACACGTCACGTTGTTCTCAAGAAAACATTCCACTGATAATATGAATAAAATGGAGCTTAATGCTTCTCAACTGTTTGCTTCATAGCTTCATACGGTGTATTTATTTATCCTATCTTTAGCATCAATCACATAGAGTGATCCCTCCTCATCGAAAGCAACATGACTGGGACAATGCAGCCCATCATGTTTTGTTTTGTACTGAAGACATTTTTTACCACTTGAGCTATAAACGCGCACTCCCCCCCAGTCGTAGTCCGCAACGAAAACGGTTCCATCACGTGACACACAAGTCCCACTGGGTTTCCACCCAGTATCATATTCCCAACTGCTCCACCTGTCCTTCCCTCCACTTGATAGGACTCTTAGACTTCCACTTCCCCATTCACTCATGACTATATCCCCTTCAGGGGTGACGGACAGGGACGACAGGGGGAACCGGAAGCTGCAGTCTAAATACCTCCTTATCGTGCCCTCCAGGTTGTAGACGTGAAGTCTTTTGTCACCAGGAATATTGCCAACCACAATCCCAACATCGTCAGACGCAGCTAGACTGTATGTGAAGGGTAGACCTTCATCTGGTTTATTCTTGTTCAGTTTGACCTTTGTTCGTAGATGACCCTTTAAAGTGAAAATACACAAATAATTTTCACTGACCACAGCAATGACGTCCCCAGCAACAGCAATTGCACGGGGATAGAATCCATCCACGGTGATTTCTTGTTTCAACTTACCACAAGAGTTGATCATCTTGACCTTTTTATTGGCTAGATCTGATATCAACAGCCCAGCACCGAAACTGTATGCCGTTCCTTTGATGTTAGGGTTCTTTGTATCACCTTTAAATTTTGCAGAAAATGTTCTTTGGAATTTCATATTGTATCTCGATGGAATAGATCTGGTCTGTGATACACTGGCTTCACTCTGTGTTGTCTGCTTTTTGTCCTGTTTCTCGTTCTGTTCATCATCCTTTGCAACAGTCAATGCATCCGTCTTGTGAATAGCCATGGCATGTCCTTTGAGCTGTTGGAGTCTGTCCACAATGGTCGTCTTCAGCATCAGTAACTCGTCATCCTTGCCTGTCTCCAGGATGCTGTCACAGAAGTCGACACAACTGCCAATCCTATTTTTCTGTTGCGAGAGTTCTTGTAACATGGTGTTGTGTTCCTTCTCTATTTCTTTCGTTTCAGTGGAAAGTTTTCTCAGTGAATCGTGTTGTCTGCTTTTTATTATGGCAATTTCTCGTTCCGCATTTTCTTCAATGCGAGATGTCTCTAATTCTCTTTTTTGTTTTAATGCTTTTGTCAAAGATAAGATACTCATTTCTTGTTTGGAAACTTCCTTGACTTCTTTGCGAATGATCTCAACCTTAGACTTCATCATTGACTTCAAAAGGCTTACAGCTTCTGTGATAGGTTGAGTGTTGTGGTCCTTGTGGAGAAAAATAACGCATGCTATACAGACTGGTAAATGACAAGATTGGCAAAAGTATTCCACATCTTTGTCCTGGTGCTGTTGACATTGAATTCTCTGTAACTGTCTGAACGTTTCATCATGCAGTCCTCCCCTGAGATCTGCTACAGAAACAATCTGATGACCATGTGTTTGGGTTGAAGCATTGTGTCCATCGGAACAGTCTGTACAGAGGCCATCGCCGCAGTTGAGACACTTCATTTCTGCTGGGGAGGATCGTCCTTTCAACCCACATGGCGTGCATTGCATTGACTTGGCTGTCTTAGATCTTACAAGTTCAGCGAGTCCATTGATGAAGAAATTATTCTTGAAGGAATCTGCCTCAACTGAAATTGGTTCTCGACACTCTGGACAGAGTGCTGGTCTTTGTTCAGACTGATGTGACTCTGTGCGCGCGCATATGCACCTAAAGCAGAAGGAATGGAGGCAGGGCAGGATTCTGGGATCTGTGAACAACTCTTGACAGATGCCACAAGTCAGGAAGTCATTGTGGTGTAAATCAACAACTGATCGATCTGGTAACGTTCCGGCCATCTTGGCTGAAAAAAAGAAACCTATTTCAATAGAAAGTTGTCTCTATGATCTCAGACTGAAATATTAAGAGACATTGTTTGTGGTCATTGTGGATTGGTTTGGTATATACTGGCGGGAAAGAGTATATGCTTCATATACAGTGGTGTAAATGCTACGTTATTTAAAAAAACAACCCCAAAAACCAATATCATATTTGGTCATTTGTCTGTTCAAAGTATTATCAAAACCCATACCAGGTAACAGAAAACAGAGGGACACGCCCCAAAATAGTGGTGGTGATACAACTTAATTAACAATGTCAATATCGGATCTGACCACCACGCGTTGATACATGCGAGGCAGCGGCAGTGTACTGAATACACCAAATGATTAAAAACAGCCTGGGTGATGTTGTTCGAAGTGCCAACCAAATATTGGCCCATCTGAGTGGGCCCTCACTGGCTGGTTCTGATCTTGCCGTAGGCGTCAATCCATCTCATCCCAGGCATGTCCTACGTGGGAGAGGTCTGGAGAAACATCCGACCATGACAGTACAGCAATGTCATGCTGCCTCAAAAAGCCTATTACAACATGTGCAAAACATGGGTGGGCATTATCCTGCTACAACGAGACGCTACGTCCCTACATTTGCACAAACGGTAGGACGGTGCATTGATAGATGCATTCAGAATAAATATATTTTTATTGAACATTTTATGAAGCACAGTTTCTTTTTTCCGTCAGTATATTTACTATTGTGTTCAGACAGACTCTTAATAAGGAGTGTGTGTGTGTCTGCAACCAAATCAAAAACCAGCATTTCACTTTTACAGGTCAGACTTAACTCATACCAACATATAAGATGAGTGAGGATAAGATATATGGATGAACAACTTCTTTATTACAATAAGAAACAACGTTTCGGTGTAGGTTATCAAGCAAGTGAGTATAGTTGACAAGTATATATACAGGTTGGAGGCAGTTTTTATACAGTAGAGTAGATATCAGATGTAGATAATAGAGTAGATATCAGATGTAGATAATAGAGTAGATATCAGATGTAGCTACACTGGAGTGGAGAAGCTTGTTATGTACATCTTATCCTTAGTACTCAAACTTCAATACCTCAAAGAAACATATAAGATGGTTGTCAGCAAGACTCTTGGTAGGGTATTGCTTTACTTATATACAGCGTATACACGACAGAATTTGGGATTCCTGACCAATAATTCACCAATTTTGGTTTTTGAGTGAGTTAGTCCGTCATCTCGGTTTAATGCCGGGCTGAAAAGTATTTTAGTTAGCAAGGCGTTTCAGTTGACAAGCCAAGGGACATGATTAGGTTGAAGTTGGGATTTCAATGGACCCTTGCGTGGCAAAGACAGACACCCCGCTGAGAGAATTGCGTTGCCACAGAGACATGCGTAGGGGTGTTTCCATGGGGAGCGTCTCCGACCCACCTCCACACTATTGACTATAGTGTGTGTTGCACAGCTCTGTTGACTGTTATGAAACCTCCAGACAGACATGTCACAACACTGACCCCGATGAAAGGACAGCTGTAGCGTATGTGGTAGCCTCTCCCTCCCCCCCACTCCCCCCCCCCCCCTTCTCTCTCTCTCTCTCTCTCTCTCTCTCGCACGCACGCACGCACGCACGCACGCACGGACGCACGCAAGCACACACACACTCGCCTACCTGCTCCATCCATCGTCTTAACATAAGGGATACGTCGAAAACGGTACTATCACTCTTACTCTGAAGGCGGCTGATAAGTGACTCGGCAGTCTCGTGACTATGCTGTTGCATTATGTGCTTTGATACAATCAGACGTCACCGCCCTGAGTATGCTCGTATGCCAGTCACATGAGAGAACTGAACAAGAGCGACATTGATACAAGTAATCTGTAGGTGTTACCGTCACGATGGTTGATGCGAGATGTTCCCGTATAAAACAATATAACTAGCGAGATAAATTAGAGATTTTACAATGGTAACACATGAATACACAATGCCATTATGAATACACAATTCCTTTTGGAAGTGGTCAAATGTAACAAATGTTATATTTGGGATAACACTTTCTTAGTAAAGTACAGATTCTCGTACTTTTCTTGGGTTGAGTCCCGTCCGGGATTCGAACCCACTCAGCTAAGAAAAGTACGAGAATCTGTACTTTACTAAGAAAGTGTCATCCCAAATATAACATTTGTTACAAATGGTAACACAGCCGATATAAATCAGGAATTCTAAGGCATACAATTGTATTTAGTGGTGGCATTTCCTAATAGATACAAGAAGTATTTACTATATCTGTGAATGTTCAAGAGACTTGAGCAATATGTGACACTAGTAAAAGGGTACTGCGTCAGGCTAACATTTCAGATAATATGATCATGGGATGACTGAAAGGGCATAATGCGTGTTCTGTTATGTCAATAAGCCACCAAGAGTTACTGCCCTTAAGGAGGAAGTAAGACACGCACATTTCCAGGACATTCAGTACTAGGCAACAAAGTCGTAGGGCTGAATATCCAAAGGAATCAATGAGCAGGACAAAACCAACTTCCAGGTGTGCTACAGCCATTGAAACGTTCATGATGGAATGGAGTGTCTGTGGCTGCACGGTTAGGTTGAGGTGGTTGTGGGGGTAGGGTTTGTATGAGGTGGGGTTTGTATGAGGTGGGGTTACTGTGAGGGTAGGGTTTGTATAGGTTGGAGGCTGTGAGGGTGGGGTTTGTATGAGGTGGGGTTTGTTTAGGTTGGAGGCTGTGAGGGTAGGGTTTGTATGAGGTGGGGTGGCTGTGAGGGTGGGGTTTGTATAGGTTGGAGGCTGTGAGGGTGGGGTTTGTATGAGGTGGGATGGCTGTGAGGGTGGGGTTTGTATAGGTTGGAGGCTGTGAGGGTGGGGTTTGTATAGGTTGGAGGCTGTGAGGGTGGGGTTTGTATGAAGTGGGATGGCTGTGAGGGTGGGGTTTGTATGAGGTGGGATGGCTGTGAGGGTGGGGTTTGTATGAGGTGGGGTGGCTGTGAGGGTGGGGTTTGTATAGGTTGGAGGCTGTGAGGGTGGGGTTTGTATGAGGTGGGGTGGCTGTGAGGGTGGGGTTTGTATAGGTTGGAGGCTGTGAGGGTGGGGTTTGTATGAGGTGGGATGGCTGAGAGGGTTGGGTTTGTATGAGGTGGGGTGGCTGTGAGGGTGGGGTTTGTATAGGTTGGAGGCTGTGAGGGTGGGGTTTGTATGAGGTGGGATGGCTGTGAGGGTGGGGTTTGTATGAGGTGGGGTGGCTGTGAGGGTGGGGTTTGTATGAGGTGGGGTGGCTGTGAGGGTGGGGTTTGTATGAAGTGGGATGGCTGTGAGGGTGGGGTTTGTATGAGGTGGGATTGCTGAGAGGGTGGGGTTTGTATGAGGTGGGGTGGCTGTGAGGGTGGGGTTTGTATGAGGTGGGGTGGCTGTGAGGGTGGGGTTTGTATAGGTTGGAGGCTGTGAGGGTGGGGTTTGTATGAGGTGGGGTTTGTATAGGTTGGAGGCTGTGAGGGTAGGGTTTGTATGAGGTGGGGTGGCAGTGAGGGTGGGGTTTGTATGAGGTGGGGTGGCTGTGAGGGTGGGGTTTGTATGAGGTGGGGTGGCTGTGAGGGTGGGGTTTGTATGAGGTCGGGTGGCTGAGAGGGTGGGGTTTGTATGAGGTGGGGTGGCTGTGAGGGTGGGGTTTGTATGAGGTGGGGTGGCTGTGAGGGTGGGGTTTGTATGAGGTGGGATGGCTGTGAGGGTGGGGTTTGTATAGGTTGGAGGCTGTGAGGGTGGGGTTTGTATGAGGTGGGGTGGCTGTGAGGGTGGGGTTTGTATAGGTTGGAGGCTGTGAGGGTGGGGTTTGTATGAGGTGGGGTGGCTGTGAGGGTAGGGTTTGTTTGAGGTGGGATGGCAGTGAGGGTGGGGTTTGTATGCGGTGGGGTGGCTGTGAGGGTGGGGTTTGTATGAGGTCGGGTGGCTGAGAGGGTGGGGTTTGTATGAGGTGGGGTGGCTGTGAGGGTGGGGTTTGTATGAGGTGGGGTGGCTGTGAGGGTAGGGTTTGTATGAGGTGGGGTGGCTGTGAGGGTAGGGTTTGTATGAGGTGGGGTGGCTGTGAGGGTGGGGTTTGTATGAGGTCGGGTGGCAGAGAGGGTGGGGTTTGTATGAGGTGGGGTGGCTGTGAGGGTGGGGTTTGTATGAGGTCGGGTGGCTGAGCGGGTGGGGTTTGTATGAGGTGGGGTTGCTGTGAGGGTGGGGTTTGTATGAGGTGGGGTGGCTGTGAGGGTAGGGTTTGTATGAGGTGGGGTGGCTGTGAGGGTAGGGTGTGTATGAGGTGGGGTGGCTGAGAAGGTAGGGATGTATGAGGGGGGTGGCCGAGAGGGTGGGGTTTGTATGAGGTGGGGTGGCTGTGAGGGTGGGGTTTGTATGAGGTGGGGTGGCTGAGAAGGTAGGGTTTGTATGAGGGGGGTGGCTGAGAAGGTGGGGTTTGTATGAGGTGGGGTGGCTGTGAGGGTGGGGTTTGTATGAGGGGGGTGGCTGTGAGGGTGGGGTTTGTATGAGGTGGGGTGGCTGTGAGGCTGGGGTTTGTATAGGTTGGAGGTTGTGAGGGTCGGGTTGGTATTGGTTAGGGCGGCTATGAGGGTGGGGTTTGCATGACTTGGGATAGCCGTGGGGGTAGGGTTTGTATGAGGTGGAGTGGTTGTGGGGGTAGGGTTTGTATGAGGTGGGGTGGCTGAGAGGGTGGGGTTTGTATGAGGTGGGGTGGCTGAGAGGGTAGGGTGTGTATGAGGTGGGGTGGCTGAGAGGGTGGGGTTTGTATGAGGTGGGGTGGCTGTGAGGGTGGGGTTTGTATGAGGTGGGGTGGCTGTGAGGGTAGGGTTTGTATGAGGTGGGGTGGCAGTGAGGGTAGGGTGTGTATGAGGTGGGGTGGCTGAGAAGGTAGGGTTTGTATGAGGGGGGTGGCCGAGAAGGTGGGGTTTGTATGAGGTGGGGTGGCTGAGAAGGTGGGGTTTGTATGAGGGGGGTGGCCGAGAGGGTGGGGTTTGTATGAGGTGGGGTGGCTGTGAGGGTGGGGTTTGTATGAGGTGGGGTGGCTGTGAGGGTAGGGTTTGTATGAGGTGGGGTGGCAGTGAGGGTAGGGTGTGTATGAGGTGGGGTGGCTGAGAAAGTAGGGTTTGTATGAGGGGGGTGGCCGAGAAGGTGGGGTTTGTATGAGGTGGGGTGGCTGAGAAGGTGGGGTTTGTATGAGGGGGGTGGCCGAGAGGGTGGGGTTTGTATGAGGTGGGGTGGCTGTGAGGGTGGGGTTTGTATGAGGTGGGGTGGCTGAGAAGTTGGGGTTTGTATGAGGGGGGTGGCCGAGAGGGTGGGGTTTGTATGAGGTGGGGTGGCTGTGAGGGTGGGGTTTGTATGAGGGGGGTGGCTGAGAAGGTGGGGTTTGTATGAGGTGGGGTGGCTGTGAGGGTGGGGTTTGTATAGGTTGGAGGTTGTGAGGGTCGGGTTGGTATTGGTTAGGGCGGCTATGAGGGTGGGGTTTGCATGACTTGGGATAGCCGTGGGGGTAGGGTTTGTTTGAGGTGGAGTGGTTGTGGGGGTTGGGTTTGTTTGAGGTGGAGTGGTTGTGGGGGTAGGGTTTGTTTGAGGTGGAGTGGTTGTGGGGGTTGGGTTTGTATGAGGTGGAGTGGTTGTGGGGGTTGGGTTTGTATGAGGTGGGGAGGCTAGACTGAAACTGACGTTTCTACAATCACTTACTTCGTCAAAGCTTAATCAGATATACTAGCGACATAATCACTTACCATTTACTTAGCAACATTAGATTTCCCCAACTCTACGACAGTGTTGATCAAGCTCATACCAGCTTTCCGGTTACTCTGCCGGTATCATTGCGATAGTATAGAGAGCTCCGCCAACGGAGGAGGCTTGAGTGTAAACGTGTAATCACTTCCTGTAAGGGAGGTATCATTGCGATAGTATAGAGAGCTCCGCCAACGGAGGAGGCTTGAGTGTAAACGTGTAATCATTTCCTGTAAGGGAGCAATCATTTCATATTCGTGTGTGTGGTGTGGTGTGGTGTGGTGTGGTGTGGTGTGGTGTGTGGTGTGGTGTGGTGTGGTGTGGTGTGGTGTGGTGTGGTGTGGTGTGGTGTGTGTGTGTGTGTGTGTGTGTGTGTGTGTGTGTGTGTGTGTGGTTTGGGGTACTCCGATATTAGTTTTAAAATATATAAAAAAACGAAAACTGTTTTCCTTGGACATTTGTCTGCGAGAAATAGCACATTATTTTTCCTACGCTGCGATGCAAATGTAATTTCTTCCAGTAAAGAAAGGAGCTTGCTTATTTTTTCCCATGAAAATCCCCTCAATCCCATCCCTACTGAGAATCAAATGATTGCTCCCTAACTACATATATGACAGTTATTTTAATGCGGGAGGCTGGTGGTTCGAACCCCACATGGGTAGATTGTGTGAATTCTTGATAGTGCTGTAAATATTGCTACAAGCGGCGTATTACCCAACTCACTCAACTCCCAGAATCACTTAGGAGGTGTATTAAACACTTAAATTTAGATAGATTAAATCTATAGAGATTAAATGAACAACATATGTTAAAATATCATAAATATAAACCCGAAGGGACAATGAGTAAGTATATTATGTTTGAGTGTGTATTTCCAGGATGTGCTGAAGCACAACTGAATGTCTACGTCAGAATCCCTGAACACACTATTCACAATCACGTCTTGTATCAATACGTCAACAAGAAACAGATAACAGGACATAGAACATTAGGTACTAAAATCATTCTATCAGAACGTGTACGTGGAACACAGGATAGGACACAGAACATTAAATATTGTCATCTGTCAGATTGTAACTTAAAAACGTAGAATAGGACAGACTACATCAAATAATGTCATCTATCAGAAGAATAGGACATGGAACATTAACTAATGTCATCTATCGGAATGTAACTAAAGGACGTGGAATAGGACATAGAACATCCAATAATGTCATCTATTTCGGACATCGAACCTTTAATAATGTCATCTATTTCGGACATAGAACATCAAATAATGTCATCTTTTCAGGACATAGAACATCAAATAATGTCATCTATTTCGGACATAGAACATCAAATAATGTCATCTATTTCGGACATAGAACATCAAATAATGTCATCTATTTCGGACATAGAACATCAAATAGTGTCATCAATTTCGGACATAGAACATCAAATAATGTCATCTATTCAGAACATAGAAAATCAAAAAATGTCATCTATTTCGGACATAGAACATCAAATGATGTCATCTATTTCTGACAAAGTACATCAAATAATGTCATCTATTTCGGACATAGAACATCAAATAATGTCATCTATTCAGGACATAGAACATCAAATAGTGTCATCTATTTCGGACATAGAACATCAAATAATGTCATCTATTCGAGACATCGACCATTAAATAATGTCATCTATCAGAAGAATAGCACATGAAACGTTAATAATGTCCTCTATCAGAATGTGATTTAATAACGTAGGATCGGACAGATTACCTTAAATAATGTCATCTATTTAGGACATCGACCATTAAATAATGTCATCTATTTCGGACATAGAACATCAAATGATGTCATCTATTCAGGACATAGAACATTACATAATGACATCTATTTCGGACATCGAACATTAAATAATGTCATCTATTCCGGACATCGAACATCAAATAATGTCATCTATTCCGGACATCGAACATCAAATAATGTCATCTATTTCGGACATTGAACATTAAATAATGTCATCTATTCAGGACATCGAACATTAAATAATGTCATCTAATCAGGACATCGAACATTAAATAATGTCATCTATTGAGGACATTGAACATTAAATAATGTCATCTATTCAGGACATCGAACATTAAATAATGTCATCTATTCAGGACATCGAACATTAAATAATGTCATCTATTGAGGACATTAAACATTAAATAATGTCATCTATTCAGGATATTAAACATTAAATAATGTCATCTATTCAGGACATCGGACATTAAATAATGTCATCTATTTAGGACGTGGTAATTCCAACGTGGTATTTTGACAATGTAAGGTATTAAGTCATCCTGTTAGCTTTGTGTAGACAGACACTGATGTGTGTCTTGCAGTTAACAGTAATTATGATGCGTCAACCCACCATTAGCATACATCTTTAACAAGCCAGCTCCCCACGCGGTGCGCAGCCATCGCTTGGATCTTCATCTCTGCCTCGTGACATCATTATGAATGTTTTCATTAATTAACACTCACTAATAACGACGATGCTTTCCACTTCACATCATTAGTCAAAGCATGCAGATGTTCTTTCTCCCACGTGCTGTTTGTTTTCATGGTAGGATTTATGCTTATTATCCTTCAAGTGAAAAAAAATACTAATTAGATATTCAAGTACTCCAGACGTCATTACTGCGTGCGGATATGGTTGTCGCTTGCTGAAATTGGAAGATGGCACATTAATTAGTGAAGGGAGGGCTGCTGCAACTAGAACACAAGAAGAAGACTAACTAGTTAAATGCATCCAGAGTGGTTGGAACATACATTGCTTCGTTAACAACTTCTGGAAATCCCGTGGTACATACAGACGCACAACCGTTATACCGTCAGACACGTGTCAGTCATTGTCAGTCACACACTAAGCCACATGCCTGCATATCCATGCCTAGTTGGTCAATAAACAACCGTTGTAATCTTTATATTAACGATTTGGAAATCGACGGCATCGTCGCAGTCGGTACAAAGACGAGTCGAGTGAATACATTTGAAAGCAGAAACCCCACCGGCGATGGCGGAGCACGAGCAGCACGTGCGCCCGTCTCGCGCTGACAGCGACATGTGAGTGAGTGAGTGAGTTGGGTTTAACGCCGCTTTTAACAGTATTCCAGTTATATCGAGGCGTGTCAGCTTAATGTGGGAGGAAAGCCCGAAGTAATGCAGGTCTCAGACGTTTACCACTTTTACCACGTTTACCCACGAGCACGGGTACGGTGCTGACAAACCTAGAAACATAATCGGGGCGAACCGGGATTCGAACATACAATCATAGGTTTCTGGCGTGCCCAAGGCAACTCTGCACAGCGAATTGCCGCGCCTTAGACGACTGGGCCACCCGTGCCCCCGTATTTTATACTGACAACTGCCATTTATTGCCATTGAATATTGGACTACCACTCTATTGTTTATCGCCCTTGTAATCGCCGTGCAGTAATTTGTGTGGATATGTAAATTCAGTGAATTTGTGTTTCACACTAAGTTCATTTACGTACAGATTTCTGGATAAACATATTGTTTCAATTTGAGAATCGACACGTAATAATAAGAATAGGAATTTCTGCTCTGATTGTCAAAACAAGGTAATTTGGCCAAGAAGTTAAAGTTCAGGTATATCGATGATCTGATATCGTTAAATCCATCAATCAGCCAATACCCTTCCACTGAGTTACCCATCATAACTAGAAACCAGTGAGACTGCTGAATCTGTTTCATATTTAGATGTATGCATGACATTTCAGAACCACAAAACACTCTCCACGAGGCTGCATGAATAGCGGGATGACTTCAACTTTCCCTTTATGGAAAGGGTATTGTCGCATTTATTTATATGATAAGCCCAATTACAGACGTTCGTGATGTGTTTCTCCAGGCTCTTCAAATATGACTCTCAAGCTGCTGCCGTCGTCACTTGGGCAGACAATACATTCATCTATTTCCAGATTTGCAGCATACTCACGACCCGTAGACGCTGATTTACCGTGACATGGCGTAAGCGTTATTTGCGGTTAAACAAAACTGTTTCATGGGCACCTGATAGCTAAACAGTTATTGTGAGCTGTTCACATTAAAAAAACAACACGTGTGTGAGTATCATGGTCCGAAGAAGCACTCAATCATCTGGTCTAGATTCGATTACTCACAGACTGCCGTCATATCTACTGCCGACAACACATATGGGAACTCGACAACACATATGGGAACTCGACAACACATATGGGAACTCGACAACACATATGGGAACTCGACAACACATATGGGAACTCGAACAACACATATGGGAACTGGTGAAATGAAAATGAAGATGTAATGACAATAAATGTCTGTAAAATTTATTTCGGGAGTGTAGATCAATATCTGTATCCACCATGTCGGGCGACACATGCACGACTCCTTGATGGTATACTGTTGATTAACTTGCACATGGTTGCCCTTGGTATTGGACGCCATTACGCCTGAAGAGCTGCCCAAACTGGGGTCAACGTATCGCTGCCCAGTCAGTTCGCTTGTCATGTGTGATACTGCCCCCATACCGACCATGGTCAAGAATTGTTGCCCTGGCCAATCCCAATCTTTGCCGCCTGTGGTAAGCTGTAATGGTCACACCCTTCACAGGACGCCTTGCTTTCAGGCGGGCTGCACAGAGTCAGTTTTTATCTGTAGAATCGCATTCCTGTTATTGTACGGAATCCACTATTGACAGCAGATTTCAATCTATTGCGTGGCATAATGTAATGAGACGATCTTATCCAGGTGTCGTATTTTTAGGCCTGCCACGTCCAGGTCTCATTGTAACCCTCTCCGTTTGACGGTACTTGTCTCACAGAAATTACACATTTTTATTTGCCAAACATGTCATTCTCCTCATTGACATGTCATGCAAATCTCCTTAGTGACACGTCATGTCAATCTCCTCATTGACACATCATGTCAATGTCCTTAGTGACACATCATGTCAATCTCCTCATTGACACGTCATGCCAATCTCCTTAGTGACACGTCATGCCAATCTCCTCATTGACACGTCATGCCAATCTCCTTAGTGACACGTCATGCCAATCTCCTCATTGACACGTCATGTCAATCTCCTCATTGACACGTCATGTCAATCTCCTTAGTGACACGTCATGCCAATCTCCTCATTGACACGTCATGTCAAACTCCTCATTGACACGTCATGTCAATGTCCATAGTGACACGTCATGTCAATCTCTTTACTGACACGTCATGTCAATCTCCTTAGTGACACGTCATGTCAATCTCCTCATTGACACGTCATGCCAATCTCCTTAGTGACACGTCATGTCAATCTCCTTAGTGACACGTCACGTTGTTCTCAAGAAAACATTCCACTGATAATATGAATGAAATGGAGCTTAAAGCTTCTCAACTGTTTGCTTCATACGGTGTATTTATTTATCCTATCTTTAGCATCAATCACATAGAGTGATCCCTCCTCATCGAAAGCAACATGACTGGGATAATGCAGCCCATCACGTATTGTTTTGTACTGAAGACATTTTTTACCACTTGAGCTATAAACGAGGACTCCTCCCCAATCGTAGTCCGCAACGAAAATGGTTCCATCACGTGACACACAAGTCCCATTGGGTTTCCACCCAGTATCATATTCCCAACTGCTCCACCTGTCCTTCCCTCCACTTGATAGGACTCTTAGACTTCCACTTCCCCATTCACTCATGACTATATCCCCTTCAGGGGTGACGGACAGGGACGCCAGGGGGAACCGGATGCTGCAGTCTATATACCTCTTCATCGTGCCCTCCAGGTTGTAGACGTGAAGTCTTTTGTCACCAGGAATATTGCCAACCACAATCCCAACATCGTCAGACGCAGCTAGACTGTATGTGAAGGGTAGACCTTCGTCTGGTTTAGTCTTGTTCAGTTTGACCTTTGTTCGTAGATGACCCTTTAAAGTGAAAATACACAAATAATTCTCACTGACCACAACAATGATGTCCCCAGCAACAGCAATTGCACGGGGATAGAATCCATCCACGGTGATTTCTTGTTTCAACTTACCACAAGAGTTGATCATCTTGACCTTTCTATTGGCTAGATCTGATATCAACAGCCCAGCACCGAAACTGTATGCCGTTCCTTTGATGTTAGGGTTCTTTGTATCACCTTTAGATTTTGCAGAAAATGTTCTTTGGAATTTCATATTGTATCTTGATGGAATAGATCTGGTCTGTGCTTCACTGGCTTCACTCTGTGTTGTCTGCTTTTTGTCCTGTTTCTCGTTCTGTTCATCATCCTTTGCAACAGTCAATGCATCCGTCTTGTGAATAGCCATGGCATGTCCTTTGAGCTGTTGGAGTCTGTCCATAATGGTCGTCTTCAGCATCAGTAACTCGTCATCCTTGCCTGTCTCCAGGATGCTGTCACAGAAGTCGACACAACTGCCAATCCTATTTTTCTGTTGCGAGAGTTCTTGTAACATGGTGCTGTGTTCCTTCTCTATTTCTTTCATTTCAGTGGAAAGTTTTCTCAGTGAATCGTGTTGTCTGCTTTTTATTTTTGCAATTTCTCGTTCCGCATTTTCTTCAATGCGAGATGTCTCTAATTCTCTTTTTTGTTTTAATGCTTTTGTCAAAGATAAGATACTCATTTCTTGTTTGGAAACTTCCTTGAATTCTTTGCGAATGATCTCAACCTTAGACTTCATCATTGACTTCAAATGGCTTACAGTTTCTGTGATAGGTTGAGTGTTGTGGTCCTTGTGGAGAAGAATAACGCATGCTATACAGACTGGTAAATGACAAGATTGGCAAAAGTATTCCACATCTTTGTCCTGGTGCTGTTGACATTGAATTCTCTGTGACTTTCTGAACGTTTCATCATGCAGTCCTCCCCTGAGGTCTGCTACAGAAACAATCTGATGACAATGTGTTTGGGTTGAAGCATTGTGTCCATCGGAACAGTCTGTACAGAGGCCATCGCCGCAGTTGAGACACTTCATTTCTGCTGGGGAGGATCGTCCTTTCAACCCACATGGCGTGCATTGCATTGACTTGGCTGTCTTAGATCTTACAAGTTCAGCGAGTCCATTGATGAAGAAATTATTCTTGAAGGAATCTGCCTCAACTGAAATTGGTTCTCGACACTCTGGACAGAGTGCTGGTCTTTGTTCAGACTGATGTGACTCTGTGCGCGCGCATATGCACCTAAAGCAGAAGGAATGGAGGCAGGGCAGGATTCTGGCATCTGTGATCAATTCTTGACAGATGCCACAAGTCAGGAAGTCATTGTGGTGTAAATCAACAACTGATCGATCTGGTAACGTTCCGGCCATCTTGGCTGAAAAAAAGAAACATATTTCAATAGAAAGTTGTCTCTATGATGTCAGACTGAAATATTAAGAGACATTGTTTGCGGTCATTGTTGATTGGTTTGGTATATACTGGCGGGAAAGAGTATCTGCTTCATATTCAGTGGTGTAAATGCTACGTTATTTAAAAAAAACACCAAAAACCCAAATATCATATTTGGTCATTTGTCTGATCAAAGTATTATCAAAACCCATACCAGGTAACAGAAGACAGAGGGACACGCCCCAAAATAGTGGTAGTGATACAACTTAATTAACAATGTCAATATCGGATCTGACCACCACTTGCGTTGATACATGCGAGGCAGCGGCAGTGTACTGAATACACCAAATGATTAAAAACAGCCTGGGTGATGTTGTTCGAAGTGCCAACCAAATATTGGCCCATCTGAGTGGGCCCTCACTGGCTGGTTCTGATCTTGTCGTAGGCGTCAATCCATCTCATCCCAGGCATGTACAAAGTGGGGGAGAGGTCTGGAGGAACATCCGACCATGACAGTACAGCAATGTCATGCTGCCTCAAAAAGCCTATTACAACATGTGCAAAACATGGGCGGGCATTATCCTGCTACAACGAGACGCTACGTCCCTACATTTGCACAAACGGTAGGACGGTGCATTGATAGATGCATTCAGAATAAATATATTTTTATGAAGCACAGTTTCTTTTTTTCCGTCAGTATATTTACTATTGTGTTCAGACAGACTCTTAATAAGGAGTGTGCGTGTCTGCAACCAAATCAAAAACCAGCATTTCACTTTTACAGGTCAGACTTAACTCATACCAACATATAAGATGAGTGAGCATAAGATATATGGATGAACAACTTCTTTATTACAATAAGAAACAACGTTTCGGTGTAGGTTCTAACACCGTTATCAAGCAAGTGAGTATAGTTGACAAGTATATATACAGGTTGCAGGCAGTTTTTATACAGTAGAGTAGATATCAGATGTAGATAATAGAGTAGATATCAGATGTAGATAATAGAGTAGATATCAGATGTAGCTACACTGGAGTGGAGAAGCTTGTTATGTACATCTTATCCTTAGTACTCAAACTTCAATACCTCAAAGAAACATATAAGATGGTTGTCAGCAAGACTCTTGGTAGGGTATTGCTTTCCTTATATACAGCGTATACACGACAGAATTTGGGATTCCTGACCAATAATCTATTCACCAATTTTGGTTTTTGAGTGAGTTAGTCCGTCATCTCGGTTTAATGCCGGGCTGAAAAGTATTTTAGTTAGCAAGGCGTTTCAGTTGACAAGCCAAGGGACATGATTAGGTTGAAGTTGGGATTTCAATGGACCCTTGCGTGGCAAAGACAGACACCCCGCTGAGAGAATTGCGTTGCCACAATTGCGTAGGGGTGTTTCCATGGGGAGCGTCTCCGACCCTCCACACTATTGACTATAGTGTGTGTTGCACAGCTCTGTTGACTGTTATGAAGCCTCCAGACAGACATGTCACAACACTGACCCCGATAAAAGGACAGCTGTAGCGTATGTGGTAGCCTCTCTCCCCCCCCCCCCCTCTCTCTCTCTCGCACGCACGCACACACACACACACACACACACACACACACACACACACATTATGAATGGAATACCGACCCGACACACAGTCACACCACATGCATGTTCTCGCCTACCTGCTCCATCCATCGTCCTAACATAAGAGATACGTCGAAAACTCTTACTCTGAAGGCGGCTGATAAGTGACTCGGCAGTCTCGTGACTATGCTGTTGCATTATGTGCTTTGATACAATCAGACGTCACCGCCCTGAGTATGCTCGTATGCCAGTCACATGAGAGAACTGAACAAGAGCGACATTGATACAAGTAATCTGTAGGTGTTACCGTCACGATGGTTGATGCGAGATGTTCCCGTATAAAACAATATAACTAGCGAGATAAATTAGAGATTTTACAATGGTAACACATGAATACACAATGCCATTATGAATACACAATTCCTTTTAGAAGTGGTCAAATGTAACAAATGTTATATTTGGGATAACACTTTCTTAGTAAAGTACAGATTCTCGTACTTTTCTTGGGTTGAGTCCCGTCCGGGATTCGAACCCACTCAGCTAAGAAAAGTACGAGAATCTGTACTTTACTAAGAAAGTGTCATCCCAAATATAACATTTGTTACAAATGGTAACACAGCCGATATAAATCAGGAATTCTAAGGCATACAATTGTATTTAGTGGTGGCATTTCCTAATAGATACAAGAAGTATTTACTATATCTGTGAATGTTCAAGAGACTTGAGCAATATGTGACACTAGTAAAAGGGTACTGCGTCAGGCTAACATTTCAGATAATATGATCATGGGCTGACTGAAAAGGCATAATGCGTGTTCTGTTATGTCAATAAGCCACCAAGAGTTACTGCCCTTAAGGAGGAAGTAAGACACGCACATTTCCAGGACATTCAGTACGAGACAACAAAGTCGTAGGGCTGAATATCCAAAGGAATCAATGAGCAGGACAAAACCAACTTCCAGGTGTACTACAGCCATTGAAACGTTCATGATGGAATGGAGTGTCTGTGGCTGCACGGTTAGGTTGAGGTGGTTGTGGGGGTAGGGTTGGTATAGGTTAGGGCGGCTATGAGGGTGGGGTTTGCATGACTTGGGATAGCCGTGGGGGTAGGGTTTGTTTGAGGTGGAGTGGTTGTGGGGGTAGGGTTTGTTTGAGGTGGAGTGACTGTGAGGGTAGGGTTTGTTTGAGGTGGAGTGGTTGTGGGGGTTGGGTTTGTATGAGGTGGAGTGGTTGTGGGGGTTGGGTTTGTATGAGGTGGGGAGGCTAGACTGAAACTGACGTTTCTACAATCACTTACTTCGTCAAAGCTTAATCAGATATACTAGCGACATAATCACTTACCATTTACTTAGCAACATTAGATTTCCCCAACTCTACGACAGTGTTGATCAAGCTCATACCAGCTTTCCGGTTACTCTGCCAGTATCATTGCGATAGTATAGAGAGCTCCGCCAACGGAGGAGGCTTGAGTGTAAACGTGTAATCACTTCCTGTAAGGGAGCAATCATTTCATATTCGTGTGTGTGGTGTGGTGTGGTGTGGTGTGTGTGTGTGTGTGTGTGTGTGTGTGTGTGTGGTTTTGGGTACTCCAATATTAGTTTTAAAATATGAAAAAAAACGAAAACTGTTTTCCTTGGACATTTGTCTGCGAGAAATAGCACATTATTTTTCCTACGCTGCGATGCAAATGTAATTTCTTCCAGTAAAGAAAGGAGCTTGATTATTTTTTCCCCCATGAAAATCCCCTCAATCCCAACCCTACTGAGAATCAAATGATTGCTCCCTAACTACATATATGACAGTTATTTTAATGCGGGAGGCTGGTGGTTCGAACCCCACATGGGTAGATTGTGTGAATTCTTTATTATGTCCCCCGTCTTGATAGTGCTGTAAATATTGCTACAAGCGGCGTATTACCCAACTCACTCAACTCCAGGAATCACTTAGGAGGTGTATTAAACACTTAAATTTACTTAAAGTAGAGATTAAATGAACAACATATAGTATAAATATAAACCCGAAGGGACAATGAGTAAGTATATTATGTTTGAGTGTGTATTTCCAGGATGTGCTGAAGCACAACTGAATGTCTACGTCAGGATCCCTGAACACACTATTCACAATCATGTCTTGTATCAATACGTCAACAAGAAACAGATAACAGGACATAGAACATTAGGTACTAAAATCATTCTATCAGAACGTGTACATGGAACACAGGATAGGACACAGAACATTAAATATTGTCATCTGTCAGATTGTAACTTAAAAACGTAGAATAGGACAGACTACATAAAATAATGTCATCTATCAGAATGTAACTAAAGGACATGGAATAGGACATAGAACATCAAATGATGTCATCTATTCAGGACATCGAACATTAAATAATGTCATCTATTTCGGACATAGAACATCAAATGATGTCATCTATTCAGGACATCGAACATCAAATAATGTCATCTATTCAGGACATCGAACATCAAATAATGTCATCTATTTCGGACATAGAACATCAAATGATGTCATCTATTCAGGACATCGAACATCAAATAATGTCATCTATTTCGGACATAGAACATCAAATGATGTCATCTATTCAGGACATCGAACATTAAATAATGTCATCTATTTAGGACATCGAACATTAAATAATGTCATCTATTCAGGACATAGAACATCAAATAATGTCATCTATTCAGGACATCGAAAAATTAAATAATGTCATCTATTTAGGACGTGGTAATTCCAACGTTGTATTTTGACAATGTAAGGTATTAAGTCATCCTGTTAGCTTTGTGTAGACAGACACTGATGTGTGTCTTGCAGTTAACAGTAATTATGATGCGTCAACCCACCATTAGCATACATCTTTAACAAGCCAGCTCCCCACGCGGTGCGCAGCCATCGCTTGGATCTTCATCTCTACCTCGTGACATCATTATGAATGTTTTCATTAATTAACACTCACTAATAACGACGATGCTTTCCACTTCACATCATTAGTCAAAGGATGCAGATGTTCTTTCTCCCACGTGCTGTTTGTTTTCATGGTAGGATTTATGCTTATTATCTTTCAAGTGAAAAACAAATACTAATTAAATATTCAAGTACTCCAGACGTCATTACCGCGTGCGGATATTGTTGTCGCTTGCTGAAATTGGAAGATGGCACATTAATCAGTGGAGGGAGGGCTGCTGCAACAAGAACACAAGAAGAAGACTAACTGATTGAAAGCATCCAGAGTGGTTGGAACATACATTGCTTCGTTAACAACTTCTGGAAGTCGCGTGGTACATACAGACGCACAACCGTTATGCCGTCAGACACGTGTCAGTCATTGTCAGTCACACACTAAGCCACATGCCTGCATATCCATGCCTAGTTGGTCAATAAACAACCGTTGTAATCTTTATATTAACGATTTGGAAATCGACGGCATCGTCGCAGTCGGTACAAAGACGAGTCGAGTGAAAACATTTGAAAGCAGAAACACCATCGGCGATTGCGGAGCACGAGCAGCACGTGCGCCCGTCTCGCGCTGACAGCGACATGTGAGTGAGTGGGTGGGTTGGGTTTAACGCCGCTTTTAACAGTATTCCAGTTATATCGCGGCGTGTCAGCTTAATGTGGGAGGAAAGCCCGAGGTGATGCAGGTCTCGGACGTTTACCACTTCGGTGAAACCCACGGATATGGTGCTGACAAACCTAGAAACATAATCGGGGCGAACCGGGATTCGAACCCAAAATCATAGGTTTCTGGCGTGTCCAATGGACGCAACTCTGCACAACGAATCGCGGCGCCTTAGACTGGGCCGCGCCTTAGACTGGGCCGCCCGTGCCCCCCGACAGCGACATGTGACGGACATCCAAACATTACTGCTGTGTGAGCCCACCGGGCACCACGGTGGTCAGGACACGCTGATGTCAAGTCAACAATATATGATAACACTATATCAGTATGAGCGTCTGAGGGAGCATTGTACACCTGGTCGTATGTCAGCGTCCGCCCTCCCCACACGGACAAAACTGTGGAGGACGAGGAGACACACATCACAACGATCGCTTCGAGGAGTGTGTGTGTGTGTGTGTGTGTGTGTGTGGTGTGTGTGGTGTGTGTGTGTGTGTGTGTGTGTGTGTGTGTGTGTGTGTGTGTGACGTGTGCACAGTAAGACGTTTCTGTTTGTCGTCAGCAATCGTGTTTGAATAATGGAACTATGCTTGTCGTATCATTCGCTTTATTTTATCTTTTTCGGGATTTGTTATTTTTCTCATTACTAACTGTCCTTATCCTGGTAACGAGTATATTGATTAAGCTCAATCAGTCCTTGTTTACTTTGTTCGGCAGAACAAAATCAGCAATGCGGGGATATCAATTTCAGATCCATTGATTGTTCAGACATACTATCCACCAGACCAGACTGCATAATCACGTTGTTATCAACAGACCTAGGATGAACGTTTTTTGCATTATTATTTGTTAAGCTCGGAATTATGGTATACGATGTTATTTGTTTTGTTGAAGCATGCGACTGATTCATTAGTCATGTATTTGTCTCTGCTCATCTAGGGTAATAACCCTGCGTCATACGTCCGCTGGTTGTCCCGAACTGAGGTGAGGTGAGGTGAGGTGAGGTGAGGTGAGGTGAGGTGAGGTGAGGTGGAGTTCAACGTCGCGTCCAAGATAATTGCGCTTGTTTTAGCCCCTTAATGTCGACCACCTTTTAACGTCTTTTGGTATGACGCGGCCGGGGATCGAACCCGGACCTTCCGGTGAGTGGTACAGGATTGGTATGTAGACAGGTGGACCTGATGTCTTAGGCACCATAATTCAATGTGCAGAGTTGTGTCACAGGCAGAACTTTACGGTCGTGGGTTCGAATCCTAGATTCGACCTGATTATGATCATTGGTGTGTCAGCACCATGCCCGTGTTCGTGGGTTGTTCCAAAGTGGTGAACGTCTAAGATCGGCATGGCCTCGGACTGCCTGACACGCCGTGATGTTCCCAGTGTACTCTTCAGTCAGTCCCCTGGTTATTGACACAGGGAACCCACTGGGGAACATACTTATCATGGAATCATATTTATACCATTACTCGACCTTTTATGCAAGTGTAATGTAAAGAATTGTCTATCCGAAAAAGCCCATATCCACGTACATATTTGCCTACACCGACTTCGTATTGTCAGATCTGCATTTCACCTTCAACCATGAAAGTGTTTCAAGCGCTCCTTTTCAGCGAGTCTCCCTTCGGAATTAAAATCAAAACCATTTCACCTGCTCTATTTGGTGGACTTATTACCGTCCTTATCTCTGTTGCACTCTGTCCGCTTCATCATACTGTTTGCCTAACAGCTTGGCAGGCTTTTATCACTATATCCCGTCGCGCTTGCTAACGCTGCGTCACTTCGTCATCAGCGCCAGCCTTGTACATCATTGCGGACAGAGCGGCCGCCCGTGTATAGTGCACCAACAATCAACAGTTATGAAAGATATATGTGTCCGTGATTCCACGACGAGCTGGAGCAACCTTACATTAACGGTATTAATTGTCTTTTATTTATCGCAATATGACATAAAGTATTTAGGTGATTGAAGCTGGCGGGTAATGTTACATTCGATTGGTAGCATATGCTCGCAAACAAAGTGTGTTAGTACACCCTGATGGAATTAAATCTGGGTTTGATGTATCTTCACAAATTCAGGGACGTCTCCATAGAAATTCATTATCATGATCCATTCACAACGCGCAGGAACACACCTAGCGCAAGGGCAATGAGCGATGATTCTTTATAGATATTATTCAGGGAGAGTGCTCGCGAGCAGCTGTGAAGCGACAACCGGATGTGTAGCGTAATGACTCATCACCTCCAGCGATGACAGCGTACACTGAAACAAGCGAACGCAACCAGTGTGACGACAAGGAATGACCTTCACCTCGGTGTGTTGACGGTGGTCCTGGGGTGGCTGTACCCGCCTCTGGTTGGCCCCGCCACGAAAGACAGAGTGATAAAGGAGGATATGGTCCGCTTCAAATTGGATATAAAAAACGCTGAAGGATTTCATTATCCAACATCTTCAAGACACAAGACGTCACGGTGTTTATAAGTAGGCGACGTATGAACGTTAAGGGTTACCTAGGAAGGACAGTGTTACGTCTACATGATACCTTCCAACCTGCGGTTTTAGAAGACTTCAAAGCAACCAGATACCCACTAGGCAAATCAGAAGTAACTTTGTTTGCAGGACAATGAGGACACGAAGCACCGATTGTTCCCTGCCTTTGGCTCTGCTGGTGACTCTTTGGACGTGCGGACCTGACGTTGACGGTAATGTTTGTTTTGTTTGTTTGTTTGTTTGTTGTTTTACGCCGCGCTCAGCATTATTCCTTTCTTTACGACAATGATTCGTGGCATGAACATCGATCTACGCAATCGGGATACGATGACATGCATCAACCAAGTCATCTATCCTGACCGCCCGATCCCATTAGTCGCCTCTTACGACAAGCATGGTTTGCTTAAGACCAATTCTAACCCGGATCTTCACGGGTCGACAGTAATGTAGTATGATTCTTTCATACGGTATGAGTGTGTGGGTGTTTGGTGAGACTATTACGAATTCGTAAGGCAGGGTTTCGAGCGAAATTGGCCGAGAAATAAGTTCTATTTTTTTTAAAATCACACACACTTAATAGTAAAGGCTGTCATCGAGGGCTTCCGAAAGACTTCCAGAGATCTAGAAATGCCACCCTTACATATTTCTCCCTAAACGTAAAGTATCACACGCATACCAATCGTCAGACGACAGTACAGTGTCCATCAATGCATAAATCTACACGATAGTGTCGTTATTTCCAATGAAAACTTTCTACTTTCTACTGAACATATTTGTTGCGTGAAAAGTTTGCAGGATTATGAACTTTATGCATGCAGGTTATATTTCGGCCCAACCAAATACGTGTTACATGCACTCTTTCGTCACAAGCAGAGCAGACGTCATCAGCCAGCTGTGGTGTTTTTCTCTTTGATTCTTGCTGATTTTATGTGTTGCGAAACCTTTCTAGAGATTTGACAATCCGACGCCTTTGGATATTCCGACCCCACAGTACACCGCCCGGTGGCCTAGCGCTTGTTGTTTAGACATTACCTCGCCAGATGACCTAGCGCTGGTTGCTGGTACATTTCCCCGCCAGGTTGCCTAGCACTGGCTGCTGGTACATTACGCCACCAGGTAGCCTAGCGCTGGTTGCTGGTACATTACACCGCCAGGTGGCCTAGCGCTGGTTGCTGGTACATTACGCCACCAGGTAGCCTAGCGCTGGTTGCTGGTACATTACGCCACTAGGTGACCTAGCGCTGGTTGCTGGTACATTACGCCACCAGGTGGCCTAGCGCTGGTTGCTGCTACATTACGCCCTTGAGCTTGTTGAAACTCCTTGAAGTCCTTGATGCTGGACTACCTCGCAGACAAAGTCGATGTGAAATTTGGAGATGTTCCCCTCCCGGCTGATGTGTTTCTTTGAGCGTACGAGTCACCTTTTCTTCTGGGGTTGGCAAAATCAATAATAGGTAATTTAGCCAAGACGTTAAACTTCAGCTTCAGTATTTTCTCGACAAAATGATCTACTATTTGAATGCCATTACCACGCAATTTATTAGCTAACCTTGATTCAATATTGTTCACCATTGAAACAGAAAAACCGAATCCCTATTTGAATCAAATTTCGGAACACAATTGCACCTTTCAACTGGCCCAGTATTTTAATCCCTTATGACAACATCACATTGCCTGCAGGCAACATCAAAGCAATTTATACTGATCTCCCGGTAAGACACGACAGAAAAGATGCCCTCGGCTCCAGAACCCAAGCCAACAGAATCCAAACCAGCGTCTACAGAACGCCTACCCACACCGATCTGTACTTTCACATTAACTCCAACCATCGTCTCAGAACTAAGACCACATTCGTCAAACCAGCCATCAACCTGTCGTCTGCTGACCCCAAACCTGAGATCCAGCACCTCCGTCATGTCTTCACTCACCTCAGCAATGACTCGCCTGAACTCGTCGACAAAGTATACCCCCATACTCCACCCCAGACCCAGATCAGCGTCTTTCCGCATCTCGCTTCCATTCACGGGAACAGCTTCCAACATCATCAGCCGCCGCCTCAAACAGAAAACCAACTTTGACATCTACGTGACGAGCACCACCTCCCTCAACACCCCTGTCAGAGCCAACGGCAGAAACCCCACCAAACCCCACGAACCCACAGGGTTAGCTTATAAACTTGACTAACTGTGAGTAAGCCTGTCCAGGTGAACCAAAGGCTCAAATCAGAGTGTAAATCAGCCATCTCGGACGATATCAGCAACTGCACCATTCACATCAGTTGGAAAAAACCTATCCAATTCCTCTCGAACAACCTCGCTTCACTAAAAGCCAACTAGTAGAAGCAGTCCAGATTCGCTGCCACAAGCCTTCTATCAACAGAGAGCTAGGCTAGTCCATCCAATCAGCCTACCATCAACTCAGTTAGCAATATGTTTTTCCAATCATTCCCCATTACAGTGGAATAAAGAAGTTGTTATCCGTAAACCTTTTCTACTTTGTCACTGAATACTGAGGCTGACCCGCGCACTATTTGAACATACGTACTGCAGGCTGCACCACGAACTTCTGAATCGCTAAATAAGCACCCTGAACACTGCATAATATTGACCGAAGCTGTCTGAACAACGCCTATTGATACGCTATTCTGTCCATGCAGGTTTATAAATCGACTAATATTTAGTCGAACGTTGCGTCATCAGTACACAAGGCCGGTAAATCTCGTTGGTTTGACTTGTTATATTTTTACCTTCTTTGTCTTTCTATAATTGACAGTTGTTAATAAACAGTCGGACCTCGTTAAGTCGAACTTGGATGTGTCGATTCCCCGGTTGTTTCGAACTGAACTTTCAGTCTCTGTGAATTTTTTCTATATTTACCATGTGGTTATACTCGATCTGTCGAACTGAATGTGTCGAATTCCCGGTTGTCTCGAACTGACCTTTCGGTCCCTGAGAATACCTTCTATATATACCATCCGATTATACTCGATCTGTCGAACTGCATGTGTCGAATTCCCGGTTGTCTCGAATTATTCCGGAGTCCCATGTATCCAAATTGGGCATAAAAGTCTCCTTTTAACTGTGTAATAAAAGTGAAATAACGTCCGCACTCCCATTGTCGCCAAACTTTCAACACACAACTTCTAACACAACTGACTGACCTCACAGTAATTGCCGCAATAGCATCAAAAGTAGGATCTACAGTAACAACAATTGCATACTTGAGATAGATTGTTATGCAATTGTTCTGACCGTTAATCCTCCACCTACTATATATATTTCAGTACCATGTTCATCATTCAGGCTTGCTTGACAACGGTATAAGGATCTACACGGAAACATCACCTTTACAGTAAATAAAGAAGCTGTAGTGTGTCTAATCTGTCATCCATCAACTTCCAGGTGTATACTAGAAACAAGAAATTGGTGCTGTATAATCCAAACCTTTTATAATATATTCCTATTATATTATTTTTAGGATACGGAAACACGAGGGTGAGGGTCTTAACACTCATGTTCAACGCAAAATTATTAAAATGATATTAATATTATAACGCCTCCTTCTTTACAATGATATACAACACAATCGTGCCGGATAATCTTGACTGGTATTCTCTGACGTTGAGATTTTATATAGACAAATACATACAACACAATCATACACTATGCAAACATATACAATACTACGATATCCTACACAATCATGTACTAAACAAATACTAATATCTACAACACAATCATACACTATGCAAACATATACAATACTACGATATCCTACACAATCATGTACTAAACAAATACTAATATCTACAACACAATCATACACTATGCAAACATATACAATACTACGATATCCTACACAATCATGTACTAAACAAATACTAATATCTACAACACAATCACAATTGTAACATAATCACAATCACAAAAATATTAGTAAACAGCACAATGATATACTAAAACTCATACCGAAATGTATGGAAAGGCGACGATGTCTATTTAATTGTAATAATGTTGCACTTTGAGGATACACTGAGTGTATGGACGCTAGCGCCAGTAGACATTATCATCTCTTAATGGCCGTCAATGATTTATGCATAGCGCAATACAGGGTCAGCAAGGGGGGAACGCCATCATGTACAGCCTTTGATTACAATGTCTGTTTAATTTGATGGCTGCAAATACAGAGTGTCAATTATATCATGCTACAGATCAACACCATTGCCATGTAAACACATGTATCACCATCTATAACCGGGGGCCGCAATTCGCTGTGCAGAGTTGCACGCCAGAAACCTATGATTGTGGGTTCGAATCCCGGCTCGCCCCGATTATGTTTCTAGGCTTGTCAGCACCACACCGTGCTCGAGGGTTTCACCAAAGTGGTAAACGTCTGAGACCTGCATCACTTCGGTCTTTCCTCCCACAAGCTGACACGCCGTGATATAACTGGAATACTGTTAAAAGCGGCGTTAAACCCAACTCACTCACTCACCACAAGAAATCCCTGCCAAGAGCAGAGTCCATTGTAGATTCCGAATTGATCATAAGCACATGTAGTGCTTTTGTTAAACAACAAATTTATATCGATGAGGTGACAATTCTTTTTTTCTATATTTCCAAAGCAGTTGAAGCATTTGTAGATACGCAACTTTGATATTGATTGAATGTGTTGTTCGACAATAACTGCCTCGTGTGTAGTGTTTGGTTAAGGGAGGTTAATGGCGTTGCGTAGAGACGCAGATCCGTGACGCGTTGCCCCGCTATAGATTCTGTGACACTCAAACAGGACAGTCTATATGCACGTGGAAGGTAACAGATGGGCCGTGTAATGAGTTCATATGTTGGCCACTATATCAATAACGAGTTGAATGAAAGTTTTGTGTACCGAAACTGAAACGGACGCATAATGATTTCCCTGTACAGAGCGTTGATGGCTCGAGTTTCTTTGTTAGTTTGGTGTTTAAAGCTGCACTCAACAATATTCCAACTATATGACGGCGGTCTGTAAATAAATTAATCTGGACCAGACAATCCAGTGATTGAACATGGATCTACGCAACTTGGATACAATGACATGCATCAAACAACCCGATCCCGTTAGTCGCCTCTTACAACAAGTGTGGTCGCCTCTCACGGCAAGCATGGGTTGCTGAAGACCTATTCTCAAACCTGGATCTTCACGGGGTGGGTATGCGTATTTTGCTTTAGTG